AAATATGCAAGGATTGGCTCTATCATCAAGTTTTTGTCTTTGTTCCTTACTCACATGAGCAAAAGCTTTGCATCCAAACACTTTCAAATGAGAGTATTTAACATCATGTCCAGACCGTACTCTCTCAGGGATATCGAAGCCCAAAGGAACAGATGGAGATCGGTTAATCAGGTAGCTTGCCGTTAGAACAGCTTCACCCCAGAATGGCTTAGGCAGTTTTGCCATTCTTAACATGCATCTTACTTTCTCCATAATGGTTCTGTTGATTCGTTCGGCCACACCATTATGTTGTGGGGTTCCAGGTACCATCTTCTCATGCCTGATGCCATGCTCAGCACAATAATTCTTGAATTCATGGGAAGTATATTCACCCCCATTATCCGTGCGAAGACACTTCAAAGGTTTACCAGCCTGTCTCTCCACCATTGCATGAAACCTTTTGAAGCATTGAAAAACCTTGTCCTTTGTTCTTAAGAAGTACACCCACAATTTTCGTGAAGCATCATCAATAAACATTACGTAATATCTGCTACCACCAAGACTCTCCACTTCCATGGGTCCACATACATCAGAATGAATCATCTCCAAAATATTCTCTTTCAACTTTGACGTTTTGCTGAAAGACACTCTATGATGCTTGCCAAACAAACAGTGATCACAAGGATTCAACTTTTTATTTTTGGCAAACGAGATAAGGGACTTTCTTGCCAAAATCTGCAATCCTTTTTCACTTATATAAGCCAATCTTTTGTGCCACAAATTTGGCGAAGCATCATCCTCGACTGCATTCAATCCGCCCTTGATCAGCTTCACTTGAGTTTTATACAACGTTGAATTTACTGTGCCTCTAGCAACCAACAACGATCCTTTGGTAAGCCTCCACTTGCCGTTACCAAAATGGCTGTCATAATCAGCTAGATCCAAAGCACGCACAGAGATCAAATTCAGGCATAGATCTGGCACATGACGCACATCTTTTAGTGTTATTGTGCATCCTGTATTGGTTTGAATGCACACATCACCAATTCCTACAATATTTGCGATACTACTATTACCCATCTTTACTTTACTAAAGTCTCCTGCTTTGTACACAGTAAAGAATTCTTTGTGAGAAGTTGCATGATAAGATGCTGCTGAGTCAATGACTCATTCATCACATGAGTCTGTAACTTAACACTCTTCTTCTTCTTCAATAGAGAGTACTACCACATCCCTAGTTGTCACAGGGGATGCAGTATTTTCATCGTCATCCGATCTAGAGTTTCGTCGGTCTTTCTTTTCTCTGTTCTTCCAGGCTTTACAGTTTCTTTTGATGTGCCCTTCTTCACCGCAGTGGTAACACTTGAATTTTCTTCTGGGCTAAGATTGTGACTTATCTCTGGATTTGTTACTTCGTCCTCTGCTCTTACTTCTCCCCCTGTTCTTTGTGACAAGGGCATGGGAACTGCTTGCCCCAGAGTCTTTTCTCCTTGTTTCTTTATTAAACATGCTGTCTTTGACTTGAGACAAAGTCAGTTTTCCTTCAAGAGTAGAGTTGCTTAATGACACCACCAGAGTCTCCCAGCTATCTGATAAAGAACTCAAAAGTAACAGCGCCTGTAATTCTTCATCAAGTTTTATTTCCATGGTAACTAGTTGGTTTACTATGTGTTGGAAATCATTCAAGTGTTCTGCAGCTGATCTTCCATCCTGATATTTTAAATTCACCAGCTTCTGAATAACGAAAACTTTGTTCTGTGCAGTCTTCCTCTGATACATTTGTTCAATTTTGTTCCACAGAGTCTGGGCATTCGTCTCTGTGGCAACATGGTGGAATATGCTGATATCCACCCACTGCCTAATTAAACTAACGGCCTTTCGGTGTGTCTTTTTCCAATCCTCATCCTTCACGTCTTCTGGCTTTTGATCTCCCTTTTCCACAGGATCATACAAGTCCTTGTAGAAAAGTATGTCCTCCATTTTTTGCTTCCAAATGGAGTAGTTTGTTGTTGTCAGCTTCACCATGGTACCTACGTTCTTCTCCATTTAATTTACACTCGGTGATACAGAGCCCAACCAGGCTCTGATACCACTTGTTGGGCTCAAATGCAGAAAAATTTGGACGTGTAAATTAAAATTCTGACGTAAACTGGCGAGCAATAATTCAAATCTAATAAATAGATCTAGCAGCGCAGCGGTGTAACTTGTAAAGTGTGCACTGGAATACTTCCCAGGAAAGAGAGGTGGATCACAACAGATCACTTAAATACCAAGTCTTTCCTTAGCCAGAACCTTTCCAGTTACAACACTAATACAAAAAACACACTTCTCTAGCAATTCAACAATCAGCCACGGAAGGATAACAGAAATAATTCTTTTCTGATGTGGAAGATCAGACTAAACTGCAACCACAGAGCATACTAAGAATTATTCTAACTGAATAAAATAAGCAGATAAAGAACACCAATATTTAACGTGGAAAAACCTCCAATGTGGAAGAAAAAACCACAGGACAAACTCCGAAAAATATTTCACTATATCTCGGGATATTTACAATATCCTTTCAACACTCTATCACACAAGAGATGTAAAGTATAGTGTACCCAGTGAGACCCACTCCTATTCAAATATTACAAATTTTGTAATACCAAGAAGAAATAGAGATGATACCCACCCCAGTGTATTTTTCTCACACTCTTAGGATTTACTCAACACTCTATTTTTCTTTCACTAGAATTCTATCAATGCTTGATAAACACTCTTGTGATGCACACACTCAATTTCATTCCTCACGGCTATTTATAGCCAAATGAAGTTACTATTCACCAAATAAAATATTATTTATTTGTTTAGAGAGTAAAAAAAAACGGCACCGAACACCGAAATGTGCTGGACATCACATGTTAAGTATACATGAATAATGGTGCTAACATTTTTTTTTTCATGAAAAATTATTCCTCAAAAATTTAAGTGCTTCCAAACAAGGCATAGACTATTTGCAATATATTTTTATGGAAAAAATTTAACAAATTAACCATTGTTGTTTTCAATCACAAATGAACAACTTGGAACTTCCAACATGGGTAGCCAGCCCTTTGATGTGGGATTGGGTAGAGCAAAGATAGCCAGCCCACGTGCCATTAATAATAATAATAATAATAATAATAATAATAATTAATGAGAAGTAGAAAACTAAAATAGATGTCTTGGGTTGGTAATAAATTTGTAATAGTTGAATCCCCTTATCATGGGTAGGCTCTCTACGGTGCTTGTGTAAGCATTGGTCATTGGAGAAAGAGGTCCCGAGCTAGGTAAAGCCTTAGCTTGACCTATGAGGCTCCAAACTATATTGGTAAGATTCCAAACTGTTGCACCCTTGTTTAATTGCCTCTTCATAATTTCTAAACACTCACCACTATCCCCATTTTGACACCGTTACACAATACAGCCTTTCTTTACCACCTTTTTCTTGCTGTTTGGATTATTATTTTAGAATTTGGAAACTCTACTACCTTATGATGTGAGGGATGCCTTATTTATCGAGCTTGGATGTAAGTTAGTCATAGCCTTAAACAACCAAGTGTAACCATGAAGTAATCCCAATATAGAGTGGATCTCTAACTATTGAATATCCTAGATAGGTGTGGGCATGGATATAATTAGTATAAAGCAAAATCAAAACCATTTATAAACTGATTATATGGATGGGATCTCAAAACCAAATCATATAATTAGTTTGACCCATGATTTTTTGTTAGAACTATGTTTTTTTCAATTGAAAAATGCAAAAATTAATCTTTAATAGAATTCTATTCTAATTTTTAATAAAAAAAAAATACTAGTTAACAAGATTCAAACTAGAAAATATGGTCACACTGCATTGACAGGAAATGTTCATTGGGGGATCAGAATTCAGATTATCTTGAAGTCCAACAAGGAGATGAGGAGCATTCAATTTTCCACCTTTGGGGAACAGTTGTACATTGTTTAATGCCCCATGAACAAATGAATAAACCAATCTTGAAACCAAAAGAGAGCCCAGATAGTGGATGTGGCAGAGCTTTGACATGGACCCAGTGACTCAACCCCATCATTGTCCACTTTAAAAACCATAAGCTCCATTAAAAGCACAGTACTATTCCTACCTGCCTACCCATATTATCATCAACAACACAACCATTCCTACAACTGTAGCTCTATAGGTAACCTTCACATTTCACTTTCACCCTATTAAAGTCATAAATAAATGCCTTGCCTTGGAAACCAAAAGGTAGAAATGCCAAAGTCTCATTCCACTTCTATATTTCCTAACTCCCCATTTACTTGCCATATGCAAATGTTCACAAAATACTGAAGGTGTAAAATATTACTACGGTCCATGAAACACAACATAGAAGCCAATAAGGGAAAGAAAAAAAATTATAATATTTGTAGTTGATTCTTCTTGTCTAGGTTCCTTTCAAAATTCAATTTATCCTTATATGGTACCCGAAGAAGCCAAATCCTCTGAAAGCAACCCACGTATTTTGCTATTGGCAGCAAAATTGTACCCGGTACGCAGAAGATCAACGATTATTGCATGGTATATGCATATAATAAATCCACAAAACTCAATATATATTAAAACAAATATAAAAAGTACAAAATTCTTGATGAAATTGTTTTATTGTTACTAAACCTTGCTCAAGCAAATTGATTACCAACTGGATTGCAACCTGTTCGAGTGGTTAATATTGAATACTACTGCTCAGTACTCACACACGTTGATTATTCTTAGTGGATAAATAGTGAAGGACAACAATAAGTTCAATTACATGTAGTATAAAATAACTGTGTACTATTCACTGTTGTGCACTCAGCTTTTCAACTGTACAATTGTACAGAGTTGTGACTACATGACATTGGCATTACTGTCATATGTTCCATTTGTTTGTAGAGCGGCCAGTTTCTTGTTTGAACATGGCAAGGCTAGTTTCAGGTAAATGATTTGACCTACCCTTAATGCAATTATATACAAACATTAAATAGATTAATTAAATGAGCTGAATAATGTTAAGAGATCATCGCCTCAGGCCAACTAAAAAATTGAAAAGACTCTATAAGCTTATATATTAAAACAAAATAGAAAAGAACAATACAGGTTGCTGTAATGCCCCTAAAAAGTTTTAGGCCAAGTTGAACACTTCTTGATTAAAGACCTATATGAGAATTAAATAAGAAACACATCATCAATATTTCTTGCAACAAAGTCCACCAGAATCCATTAGGAGCATGAATCAAAAATCCCAAAGAGGCTATGGAGTGCATAGTCTTGTTCATATCCACATTTTTTGTATTGGATTCTACAAATTTGATCTCTTGCTGGCATGGTTTTACTCCATATGGAACATGACTTGTTGACATTACTCCAACTAGGTAGCAAAGGCTGGGATTGTTCCAGGCCCCAAAACGTGTTCCCATTTTTCCATAAAACTCCATAGAGAATTTAAGCTCTCCTACAAGATTATTGCCGTTAACATAGAGTGCATTGAGGCAAGGAAGGGTTGATAGTTTTGGTGAAAGGTGGCCTGTGAGGTTATTGTCACTAAGGCCTAAAAATCTCAACCTCTTCAATTCTGATATAGACTCAGGAATTTCTCCTGTCAAACCCATGTTAGAGAGATCCAAAATGACCAAGTTCTGAAGATTTTCCCACTTTAAGGTCCTGATATTTCCACCTATTGCATTGTTGGACAAAACCATTTCTTCTAAAGAATACATCTCTTGAATACTCAAAGTCAACCCTCCAGAGAATCTGTTATTCATAAGGTCCATGAGGGTCAGATTTTTAAGATAAGCAAATTCCTTCAGCAGATTCCCCTCCAAATGATTATGGCTCACGTCAAGCTTCAAAAGTGAAGTTAAGCTTCCAAGTGTCAAAGGCAAGTTTCCAGACAGTGAATTTCTACTTAAATCTAGTATTAGTAACTGACCTAGTGCACTAAAAATATCTGGTATGTGTCCAGTAATATAGTTTCCAGATAGAACAAGCCTCTTCAACTTGTTGAGGTTGCCAATATCTGGTGGAATTTCACCTGTTAAACCATTTTCTAAAAGTACTAGTGACTGAAGGTTCTTGAGCACACCAAAACTTGAAGGAATTTTTCCAATGAGACCTGTGTTTGATCTAAACTCAAGTGACTCTAAGCTACCAGCCAGCTTCTCCCAGTTTGCAGTGGGAATGGTAACCTGATGCCTGTGCTGTGATTGAAAGCATTTGAAGAATGATAGAGCTTTAAGGTGCTTGAGCTCAAACAACCGTGGTCTAAATTCCAAAATTTTGGCACAACTTAAAGAATTGTCGTGGATGGGTCCAATGTTCAAGACAGTTACATACCAAGATCCATTAAACAGATCACAAGAGACCCCCTACAGCAGAAAAGAATTCTAATCATAATTAAACAATATTTTAAGATCATAATGTTTTAGAAAATTTATAACTGCTTGGTTGAATTGTAAATAGTTCTGATTACATGGCTCAATTGGCAAATAAATATAGTGGCTATTTACTACATATAACATTTTACTAAAACCAGTAAAAACTAGAAAAAAAAAGGGGACAATTAGTGAGAAAAACAAAAAGCTATCATTGTGTAAAAGAAACTCCAAATGAAAATAGTTTTTGGATCAAGTGTAAGATTGACACAATTAAGCCGAGTGGATCTTAGAATACAATTCTAAAGCCTCATTTATGGACATAATAATGACTACCCTAAAAACCTTTGAGGAAAAAAAATAATAGCGTGAAATGACTTCATTAAACGGTGGTTTTACAACTTCAACCAAAATAATTTAAAATATTCAACCATTTTCTATAGCACAGTATAAAGGTTGTTGCTTGGAAATTTTTGCAGTTTGATGTCTACTCATACAGAAGGTTCAAAAGTACCTGAATAGGAGTCCAACCACAAGGATCTGGATAGAGATCAGAGCCATTCCACCAATCACCTACGAAGCCTTGAATGGTGGAGTATAGAGCATTCCTCTCTACTTTCTCCATTGGAGCTACATCAAGTTCTGCTTGTCCATAACAACTTGCTCTCAGCGAGATGATGAATAGAACAATGACAACTTGACTAAAAGCCATTAAGGTTCTCATGAGGTTATTTAGACAAAACGGGACTATCAGGCACAAGAAAAACTCAAAATGGATGAAGCAAAATTGATAAAACAAACACAAAAAGGAAGGTGCTAACTTGGCTTAAACTCTAGTGCATAATTTGGGTACTGATTCCATAGACAATTCACTTCTCACACAGGGACAATATTAAACTAAATTACAAGAAAAGGGACAGACATAGAAGAAGGAAAAACAAGGTGACTTACTCCCTCAACAATGAAGTGCATATCAAGACAAATACCAACATGGGTCCCTACAGAAAACTAGTGATATTTTGATTAAACAAATAGAAAGGATTCTAGCATCAACCAGAAAGGAAGAACAGGATCCTGAAATTGTGTTCAAACTGAGTAGGAAAAGGAGAATAATTGTTGAGGAAAAACAAAAGCATAACAGGTAACCTGACCTCTTTTACTCCTTGTGTTTATGGAAAAGCTAAGGAAGTAGTATAGAGCAGATAAAAGAACACGAGATGTTAGCACAGTTCTCAAAGCTCAAAGTCATAATAGTAATGAGTCTAATATGGCCACAGCTGTAGCAAGTGACTGAAAGCCTATATAAGATGAAAGCGAAAGCTGGTCTGCAAATTAAACACCCTTTCTGATTATATTATTCAATATTACATTATTATTATTATTATTATTATTATTGTCCATTTTTTTCACTTCAGTTAAGGCTTCTTAAGATTAATTTTAGGTATTTAAAAAGAATAATTTAAAAAAAAAACTTAAACTCAATCTCAAAGCTTAAGTTAACAAAACTGCATTTTTATTATTAGTATTGTTACTATTTAAGATTTTAGTAGGCATCAACGGGTATGATTGCTTAAGGGGGAATTACGGTTTTATATATATGTATATGTATAGATATGAAGATAATGGTTAGTGGTATAGTAGGGGACCATTATGCATGCAAAAAATGAGAGGTGCATGTAAATGCATGCAAGACAAACTAGGCTTTTATCTGTTATTGCCTCGTTGTCTTCTTTTGGGGTGGTGCCTGGTGGGTTTTTAACAGCACTCTGAAACTGCAGGGGTAAAAAAGGACATGAGAGCACAGTGGCTTTGAAAAGAGAACTTAACCATATTGCTTCATTGTGGTTGGGTCGTGATGAAGGACCACATTTGTACCAAAAAAACAACCTCAGAGTCTCTCTACGGTGCTCCTCAAAATTTGTAGTTGTCTCGGCAAAAGGAAGAAGAAATTTGGCAATAATAGTAGGAAAGTGTTCAAGTGCTTAGCTTAGGATTCATTTTAAGTTATATTAAAAATATCAAAACTTAACAAAATAATCATTTGTTAGATGTTTAACATCAAATTGATGTCAACAAAATTGATAATAATATTATGAATCCATTGCTTCCCATGCTTTTTCTGTAACGTATTATTAAAAATACGACTGTGTTATTTTAAATTTACGTGCAGAGAAGAGTTTTTGGTTCGGCTTTCCATTACATTTTTACATAAAAGGAAAATTTTCTTGCTTTTCTTCGACGTCAGTTTGAAGCCTCTTTAAAGTTCTAATACAAATATTCTAATTGTAGCTTTTCAATTTGTAACAAATATTGTATATATCTATACATCTAAATATTGTAATGCACAAAATCTAAGGGTATTATAATAGGTGGTTTTATATTATTTTTCATTTAAGAGATCATTCAAAAAATCATTTTAAAATAGCCTCTAGAGTTACTAAATTTTAAGGTTCTATAAAACAAATCCATAATAAGTTTCCACAACTGTAAGATATGTAAGAAAAATATTTTTTGAGGATTGAATGAAAGGATAATAAAATGAGAAAAGGATAAGGAATCATAGCCATGGCCAAAGCCTAACGTAGGTTCACAAGTCTTTTTCTTCCCTGTGTTACCTGTGGCTACTACCCTCTACTGAGTAATTTAGGATAGCATCATGCAGAAAAAGTCCTTAATCAGTATTCACCATTTCATTGGATGTAATGAATTCTTTTTCCTTTTTATTTTTCCGAGAAGCATATTCTGTAAAGTTTATTTTATGTAGGGTAGGGTGTTCTCAATTTGCATTGTTTTCAAAGAAGTAATATATATACGCCAAAATATATAGTTGCCTTTTTTATATTGAAAAGAAATCGAATTTTCGATTTAGTTTCATTCAAGAATAATCCATCTCAAAGCACAATGTACTCATTCAATTTTAGGTCAAATTAAATTGAGTTCGGTTGTTTTTATAAAATAAATAAATAAATGCAACTTATACTAATTGATTTTGATCCACTTCAACTTTTACAATTTATATTAGTTTTAGTATAAACACTTCCCCAATTCACTGAATTACAAAAGCTATCACTCCATTGGATTACAGAAGTTGACATCTCTTAATTTATATAATTATCTAAGTGATTTATACAATTAAAAAAATATGTGATATTATGTTATATATATATATATATATATATATATATATATATATATAATCTTATTACATAAATTAGGAGAAGTTTGTGTAGCGTTAAAAAAGATTATTAAATAACTAATGAAAGTTAAATCGAATAGCAATCGACTTGATATCGCTTAATCAAGAGATTCAATTTTTATCTGATCATATTTTAACTATTTTTATAGAATATCTATAAAAATTACCCTATGATTTCTCTAACAAAGTTTTGTTGTTTAACTTTGTTGTTTTTATAGAATACCTTCAATAAAAATTTACCCAAGATTTTTGGGTCTTGCACAACATGTTGAGGTGCTATTGACTGACCCAAATAGAGAAGTATTTCTGGGCCCAAAAAAGAAGAAGATTGGTGCTATTAAAATATAGCGCTATACACTGCATATTTTTAATCTTTAAATTTGGAAACAATTCAAGTTCTTTATTTTGAACTAACAAATCAAATGAAAAAAATAAAATAAAAAGCTTAACAATGCATTTTGTTTGATTATAGCATAAGCTTTTTGTGACACATTACCTTGGTTTGATCTGAAGGACCATAGATCAACTTGGGATAAGGTCCGAACTCACTTCTCTGACTTCTAGTTAATTAGACATAGGAATTAAATTTCAGTGTAATTATTATTAAATGTTGTTCTTAATTAAATTTATCTAGGAAATTGGATTTGTTATATGAAAATTAATGTAAACTAACAAGCTACACTAAATAAATAATTAGATTATACGATGTTATTATGAGTTTGTGTTTTTTGTATGAGTGAAGATTTTTAATGAAATTTAATTCTTAACCACTTTAGTTCTATATTAGTAACATTCTATTTTAAATGCATCCTTCATAATTGATAAGTTTTTAAAAAGTTAAAATAATTTATTTCATTAGTTGATGAATTTTTAAAAAATATTTTAATTTAAAAAAATGATTAATCACAAAAAAAGTCAAATGAATATTTAAAAACAATATATTATCAATATTTCTTTTTATCGTAATATCCAATGAAATGCAGTTTATGATTGAAAAAAAAGAGGAAAAGTATCAACCCTAAGTTTGGATGGAGGAGAGAGGGCTTGGACTAGATTCTCCCCAATGTCCATGACAAAGGCAAAGACTTTAAAAATCCAAAGATACAAAGGTCAGGTGTCATCTTATGATTGGTTTCCATTTGAAGTAAATAAAACAAATCCAAAAAAGGCAAAATGTAAACTATATTAAATATTAAATTTTAAATATTACATCATCACATTCACATCATAACAATTGAAACCGATTAGATTAGAGGCTTCAAAGAAGGGCCCAAAACCTAAACCCTAATCTGATTCGTTAGCGATTATGGCGTCTGAGAGCGCTTCTCGATCGAGTTCCGCGGCAGATTCCTACATTGGGAGCTTGATAAGCTTGACCTCAAAGAGTGAGATCAGATACGAAGGCATTCTCTACAACATCAATACCGAAGAGTCCAGTATTGGCCTCAGAAATGGTATTCTTCTGCTGCTCACTTTTTTATCTTAAGAATTTCCTCTTGATCCTTTCTGGTTTTTGTTCATTTTCAGCTTAATTTGGTCTCTTTGGTTCCAGATCTTTGAATTCATGGTCAAAATTTCATCTTTTTTATCAGTGTTATAATTTTTAGGTTAATTCTGAAGAGTTTAGTGTGTTGAGGGGGTGTGAGTCCTTGCCATAGTGATGGAATTATTGTAAACTAATGATTGTTTTTGGGGTTATCTGTTGAAAGGCTATTAAGCGATTTGGTGAATTTTTTGGTAGCATCCGGGTTGCATGTTTTATTGATTTCAGTTGTGCCCTGGTCCGAGATTTCATTTGAAAGTGTGTTATTTGGTTGCCATGGTTGTGGTTTTAATCTATCTCTATTCGAGTATCAGAATTTTGCTTCGTGCTATGTTAGCATGTGATTCTCACTTGGGCAATGACTTAGGTTATGTTCCTTTCATTTTTAAGTTTGTTATTTGGTGTGGCTTTGTTGTTTGTTACCGCTGTACGACTATCTGTCACATTATGCATCAACAGAAAGCCGTAAATGATTGACGAATACAAGCAGCAAAACAAACTCAAGATTAAGAGTCCCCAAGTTGTTGACACTTGTAATTGCTACAATGACGACGTATGAATAATGAAGCTTCCTAATGATAAAACCACAGTGAATGGAATAGAATGTGTTGCTTTGATTATTACAGAACGGAGAAACATATTTTTCTCCCTTACGCATGGTTATTAACATTAGTGAGAGAATAATAGTTGGCATACGTACATGTGTTTCTATTAAAAAAATTGGAATAGGTATATTTGGAAGACAAGTGTTTTATTATTATTAGTATATTTTTTAGCTTGTTTCCTTTTGTCGATGGTAGTTAAAACTTGGGAGTTCTGAAAATTTCATCCAAATATTTTCTATTCCCAGAGCACTTTCTGCTCACCTTCCAATGGAAAAAAAAAAAGAAAAAGGGAAAAAAAAAAAACTAGTTCATCCTCTTGGCTTTCTTTGTTGTTATCCAATTGCAAGATATGGTCTACATTGGAATAGTGGGATTCTGATGTGGGGCTTAGCTGGCCTTGGTCTCACCCACTACACTAGCTAGCCTTTGAGGTGCGGCTCTTCTGTGGTTCATATCAATTGGTATCGGAGCCAGTGCATATTGTGGCTGTTGTGGCTGCAAAGCATGGTGGAATGTAACAATTCAATAGAAAGGTATGGGGCTGGACTCCCACATTGGAAGTATGAGATTTTGACATGAGGTTTATATAGCCTGGAGATCTCCCACTGCAATGGCTAGATTTTTGTGTGCTTTCTCCATAGATTTGTGTCATTTTGTACTTAATTTAGGGCTTAAATGGTTCTATTATTTTCCATTCCATCCCCACTCATTCTATCTATCTAAAATGGTAGTTAATGTTGCTGATTTGCTATTGCACCAGATACCTTTTTTTATTCCTATTTCTACCTTATTAACTTATCTATATATTGATTAAAAGTTGCACCATTAATATTGAAAAGAAAAAATCTGCTCAAGGAAATTTATGTACAGTTATAAAGGCTTGGCAATTTGTATACATCTCAAATTATCTGGACTAATGGTCATTAGCTTTTGTATGTGCAAGATTTTCTTGTAACCATGTGGATTATTGCAGCTTTGAATTTTACCATCTTGTTTCCGTAGTTATGTGCTACCCAAGACATTGAAATATGTTGTTTACTATCAGCAGATGGGTTGGTTTAGTGATACATTTTTTTTTGTGTGTGTGGCAGTGCGATCTTTTGGAACAGAAGGAAGGAAAAAGGATGGTCCACAAATTCCTCCAGGTGACAAGGTGTATGAGTATATACTTTTCCGCGGGACTGACATCAAGGTATCATGCATGGAATATTTTCAAACACTTTTGCTAAATAGTTAATGAAGCACTACCTCATTTTGGTGAATGTACTTTAGAAACAATGGCATGTGACTTGTGTGATTTTATGTAGAGATACTCTTTTTGGTACAGCTTGGTTCTAGAATCATTGAAATACTGAGCCACATATCTATTCAGGGAAAGGGAACATTAGAAGCTGATCCTGATTAATTTTATAACTCAGTGCTATTACCTGATAAAGGGCTTGTTAGATTTTACTGCATGGAAGCTTTGATTGAGTGATGTTTGTATTACGTATGAATCAGATCAGCTGAGACATTTGTCTCAATTTTTTATGCAGGATTTACAGGTTAAATCTTCTCCACCTGTCCAGCCTACTCCACAAGTCAACAATGACCCAGCCATTATTCAGGTTGATGAGAAAATTTTTCGCTGAATAATGAATCAATTAAATTAATTACATCCTAATTATATGGAATTGCATTTGCAGTCTCACTATCCTGGCCCAGACCCCACATCTACAGGTTTGCCTTCTGCTGTAAGTGGGTCTCTGACTGATCTTACTACTCATACCACACAGCTTGGACTTCCAGGGTCTAATTTTCAAGGGCCTTTGCCTTTGTATCAACCTGGAGCAAACATAGGATCGTGGGGAACTTCTCCACCTGCTCCAAATGTAAATGGTGGTGGGCTTGCCATGCCAATGTATTGGCAAGGATATTATGGTGCCCCAAATGGGCTTCCTCATTTACACCAACAATCTTTGCTTCGACCACCACCTGGTTTATCAATGCCTTCATCTATGCAGCAGCAAATGCAGTATCCCAATTTCAGTCCCTCTTTACCAACTGTATCTTCTAATTTGCCAGAATTACCATCAGCTTTGCTACCTGGTAGTACCAATACCCCTAGTGTAACATCTACTTCCTTGCCTCCATTAAATTTGCCTCCAGCACCTTCTGCTTTGCCTCCTGTGCCTTCTGCTATATCTCATGCACCTTCTACTTTATCCCCTGCACCTTCTGCTACAGTAGCCTCAGAAATTTTGCCAGTATCAGTAACAAACAAGGCACCCAATGTTTCAACTTCAGCAGTGACACTAGCTGCCAACTTGCCATCACTAACTTCACTGACCAACTCTGGTCCAGATATAAATGCTACAGTGCCACTGGTCTCCAGCAAATCGAATGCAATTTCAGGTTCAAGCTTACCCTATCAAACTGTATCCCAGTTGTCTCCTGCAGCTGTTGGATCATCGAGTACTATCCTTACAGAAACGTCAACCCCTTCTCTGGTAACCCCAGGACAGTTATTGCAGCCTGGACCAACTATAGTTTCTTCTGCTCAGCCTTTGCAAATTCCTCATAAGGATGTTGAAGTGGTTCAAGTATCATCAACATCATCTACTAAGCCATCTCTGCCAGTTTCTGCTGAAACTCAACCACCAATACTGCCATTGCCAGTAACATCACGACCCACTCTCAGGGTAGCCTTCTTTTCTTGATCTATTGGTGTTATGCATTCAGATGCACACACGCAGCATGAACTTGTTATGGTTTTTCATGTACCTGTATGTTTGTATGTAATGTGGTAGCACAGTGAAGTCCAGAGCCTTGTGAATTCACTGGAACATCTTGTTATCCACAGATATTAATTGTGTTTCGATGAGTAAACTTGATTTTAGATGATCCTCATTTTGCAAAATGGATTATGGTTAAAACTAAGTTTGAAGTGAAGAATTTATGTTTGGAAAGTTTTGTCTAAAAAGAAAGTTTCTATTAAAATTTAATATAAAATTTCAACCCAATTCAGAAGTTACATTTTTTTGGCTTTTAGTCAAATGTGCTTTTAAAAATCTAATCAATCATGTTTGGTTGAAATGAGCAAACATGGTTTTTTTCAAGCTAAATCACATTTCCCCTGTTGGATGTGTGTTTGACATGTTCAAACGTCATTACAAACATGGCAATTATACTACAGTTTCACTTTGATCTTCCATGAGCACTTGAGTAGTTGCTGACATTTGGTTGAACTTTTTTAAGCCCGGTGGAGCTTCTACCCCAACACGTCATGGCTATAATTTCAGAGGACGAGGAAGAGGAAGAGGAACTGGGGTAATGTTCACTTGACTGTTTGGTTTAATATGTAGGCATTTTGAGCTGCCATATATCCATAGAAATTGAGGACTTATGAATGATTTGGGGTTTTAAAGGTTGTTTTTTGAGGGGTGGATGGGAAGAGGTTTGTTGCTTGCGTTTCATACTTCATTAGCCTTTTCACTTGCTATAAATATCTAAATGATGAAACATGCTATAATTTTTGCCGTTCTTTTTAATAATTTGTGGGGCCATTATGATTAGATTGATAAATCTGCCAGAAGAATTTTATGTCATTATTTTGAAATTTTTTTTATAATGACGTCTTTGTGATTGTAATACCCAGTTGAGGTAATGACAAATTTAATTTATTCTTTGCAGGGCTTGCGCCCGGTGACAAAATTCACTGAAGATTTTGATTTCATGGCAATGAATGAGAAGTTCAAAAAGGATGAAGTATGGGGTCATCTTGGTAAAAGCAGTAAGTCTCATTCAAAAGATAAAGATGGGGAAGAAAATGCTTTTGATGAAGATTATCAAGATGAGGACAATGATGATTTATCAAATTTTGATGTTAAGGTAATGCTATTTAACATGCAAATTGATATGCCATAAGTTTTTATGTAGAATAATTTCTTTTGTCTCTCTTTCTGTCTTTGACTCTGCTTTTCAATGTTTTTGCAGCCCATTTATAACAAGGATGACTTCTTTGATTCACTCTCTTCCAATGTGCATGATAGTGCTTCACAGAATGGAAGGACTAGATACTCTGAACAAATCAAGATTGATACTGAGGTAATTTCTATCTTTCTTAGATCTCATGTTTAGGGGTAATGCTTAACTCTTTTGCCGAACTGTGGTGCAGACATTTGGGGATTTTATGAGGCATCGTGGGGGTCGGGGTGGCCGGGGCCCTGGCCGTGGTGGGCGTACACGCGGTGGTTATTATTATGGAAGGGGAGGGTATGGCTACTCTGGAAGAGGAAGGGGACGCGGCATGCTTAGCCGCAGTTCTTGGGCGGAGAACATGAGTTAAGGCAGTCTTCCATTAAAACACTGTAATTGTGTTAGAGACCATGTTTCATTGTTGTGTTCCTTCCGTTTACGTTTGTTTCACAGAATAAGTAGGACATTTTTTTTTCGTCATGTTACTCCTCCACCAAAGTCTCTTGGTTTGATGCAAAAATGTATGTACACCTTATTTAAGTTTATAGTGACAATGGCAGAAAAGTTTAGACTACTTTATTGCAGTATATTATTGTTTATGCATGTAAGCAATTTTTTATGTGAATTCGCATTATAAATGCAAGTTGCATTATAAAACTATACGTCAAAATAAAGTTTTTGATAAAGTGCCATTTAACTTTTGAATTATATGAATTTTATAAATTTAATCTATTTATATAAAACTTTTAATATAATGATTAAATTAATGGAATTTAATATTTGTAAAAAGTAGTAAGCAAAATAATATTGATAAGAATTAATCTTCACCCACGTATTTATATTAGACGCTTGGCAAAATATATCCAGGACATTGGACATATTGACTTTCTGTACACAACTAGGGTAATTCTCCTTAAAAGTTAATTAGTACATTTTTATATTTTTTTATGAAAATAGTGTAAGTCAGGCATGTGAAGTCCAACTTTTATAGCTTTTTATTTTTACAAGTTTTTGGCTGCTTTAAGTATAATTTTAAGTAATGTATAACTTCACAAAAATAAATTATGATTATTTATGATAATATTAATAAAACCTGTTACATTACAAAATCAAGAAAAAAAAATTTCATTAAAAGAGTAGTTGCACAACAAAATTAGTGTAAATTTTAAAAAATTTACAAAATTAATTTAAGTCATACATGTGAAATTCAACTTAACTTTAATTTTTCATCTTTTAACGTGCATCAGTTTATAGTGGTTTTAAATATAATTTCTGACAATTTCTAAGTACTAAAAATTTATATGCATAATTTTTTTCAAAAAAAATGTAAGTAGGACTTCACACTATTTTGTCAAAAACTAGTCAGGTAATTATTAAGGAGAATAACCCAGTTGCATATAAAAACCTTCTTTGAATCAGTAAAGAGATTTAATATTTTTAATATTGCAAAAGGCAATGGTTTGTCTTAAGAGCGGTTACAAAACTTTGAATTGATGATAGTGGCTCATTTTAGTTTGTGTGAGAAGTTCCCTTTCACCCAAATCCACTTCCCCTTATTATGGTTTGCTCAAATAATCTCTCAATGGCATTTACATAGCCAGAGATAGGAAAGGGGGGGTTAATCTCTCAATGGCATTCAAATTCAACGTTTTTAAACCTTAATGACGATTAATAAATTAGTTAATTAAAAAGTTATTGTGTGTTCATTATCTATTTGGTCATGTCAACGAGAGAAAATAACAGTAGTTTAAATTGCTCATAGTTTGAGCAATCCCTGTACTAAATTTACATTTGCTATATATTACATTGCCGAAAACATAAACATGCTAGTTTATTATAATTACATAATTTTTTCTACGACTCAAACATCACTTATCAACATTTCACATATAATTGGCTTTAAAGTAATGGATATATGACAAAGTGATGGTACATTACTTTTTCCTTATTATATATATCGGTGAATAACACACTTATTCATAGCTTTTAGCCTCAACACCCTTTATCTCCAAGGCCTTAGTTTTGAATGCAAAAGTCTAAGATTACTTGCATGTAGCAACTAGGACTTTCCTAGGAGGAAGGGAAGGTCTTCTACCATGAAGCAAAGCATAGTTATCAAAGAAGAGAACATCACCTTTCTCCCACTTGAACTGTATGCTCTCTTCTTCAATGATCTCTTCACACCTTTTCACTACATGTTTTGAAATCTCTGTTCCATCAGCCATCATGGCAGAGCTAAGTTCCTTACCATACATGCCTACTACTGTGTTGAACCACATTCTTCTTCCTTTCCTTCCTTCAAATACCTTCGTTAGACCTCTTGGTCCAAGTATTGTCTTCACCCCTCCATTTGGAAGCCACTCCATGTCCATTCCTAGAGCTTTTGCCCTGCCACAGTTTTTTAATTAAAACATGTAAGGTTCAATGAGCCAAGCCACAAATGATGGAAGAGACTTTCACTAGTTTATATATATGGAGAGTAATAATATGGAGTAGTATCTTATTCCATTACATGGATTGGTAAAATGAAAATGAAATATAATTAAACTCATTCTGTTCAATTGCATTACTTATGCTCAATTTTCTTTTTTTTTTCTAATTTGAAGGAATGAAACTAAAAATATATATTTTTTATAAAATTAAAAAAATTATTATTATAAACTTACATTTAAGTTACATACATCATCAGTACACTTTTATTTATAGTTGTTGGCCTTCTTGTTTGATCATTACTATTCTTCTTTTGTTTAAGTATATCTTTGTTTATTGAATATTTAAGTACGAAAATATTAGAATCAGAAAAAATAGAGAAAAAAACACCAGAAGTAAAGGCCAACTTAAATATTAAAGCAGTTTGAGTTAGATAGCTCCAGCTTCACTTCCTAAATTGAAAATTTGGGGACATGAACTAGTAAATAGTGTCATAAACTTTATAGCTTCAATGAACATGCATGTATGTACACAGCTAGAGGATATGATGTGTAGGCATTTGAAGGAAAAATTACCTCTTCTCCGCTTCTTTACGATCTGAGGTCCCAAATGCATCCTCCCACCCTCTACCTCTCATCGAAGTGTTGTTATTCAGAGAACTAAGAGCTGTAAATGAATACTTCAACCCCTTCTCCTCCATTTCCTTCACCTCTTCTGGGAACTCCTCTAGCATCCTTTCTGTCACCCGGAAGCTTGGAACAAAAGGGGTCTCTCCCCCTTCAGGGGGAGGTATCTCACAAAATAGTATCACTTTCTTTGGATATTCCTTAATCTGATTATTCAGTTACCCATGTTTAAAAATATAGGGAAAGTTAAACTCCATCGGAAATCCAAATAATTGGTCAAATTTCACTAGTAATTTGTTTTCATTAAAATTATAGTTTTGATTGTTAGGAAAGACAGGCAAGTTGCAAGATGATGTAAGAAGCTAAATTTAGTAGTATATATTGATATATGTTGCTGTAGCATATACTATACCATTCCAAATATTTATATATCAAATAATCAGTATGATTCGTTCACCACACATCATCACTTGCGTGTGCATACGTACGAAAGACATGACATAGACACAATAAATTAATATCGTGAATAGAAGGAAATGCAGAGAACATTGTCAAACATTGTCTTAGTGAAGTTAATTATATGCATGTTCTTTTAATTTTTCTTGCGAGTTCATGCGTACGCGACCTCTGCTTCTATTTGGTCAATTATTTGTGTATCTGATTGTTTCCCCAAAAGGATCAAACAGATTGATATTCAGATTGACTAAGGGAAGTCATTCCCTGAAAAGTTCACTGTAAAGCATATATTGGTCTCGAATATTATCCTTGTTATCCCTGTGATCAAACAGGACCTCAGATTTGTTGGATTGGAATTTCCATATGATTAACTGAAGTGAGAAAAAACTGTTTGAAAGTACATATTTGAAATGTTTCTTTGATCCTTGGAATGTGATGATTTTGATATCATATCAAGAAACTATGTAGATGACATCTCATGGTGCTAATATGAATATGATATATAAAAATTTGACTTACCAAAACCATTTCATGGTGATAGTATATGAACTCTGAGAGGGGTCCTTCATTAGCAGTCCATACCCTTTTGTAAACATGTGTCCTGGGTGCTGGTCCAACATAACGAATGTCTTCCCATTCAAAGGCTTCTATGATTTCATTGAAGTCCTCAGCATTCTTGACATCATAACCTCTTAACAAAACAGCACTGTTCTTGATGATCATTTGCTCAAACCAATCTCTGTTGTTCTTCAAAGCCAATAGCATGGATTCCAAGTCACTCTTGTTAGGCACTGGAGATTCTAGCACCAAGGGCATGGTTTCCCCATCTACAACTTTTTCTCCCTCACATTTTCCCACCCTGAAATCCTTGCAAGAAAATTCCATCTTTCTGCCTCTTTCCTCTAATTCTAGTATCAAATTTTTGTATGTTGGACACTTAAAAGTTGTATAGGCTTATACACATATATACATGTATAAATAATATAGCAGATGGTGGTGTTGATAATTGCTATGCTAAAAAGACAAGAGGCTGGCTTTATCTTGTCATTATCTAGCTGTTCATATGTTTTGAATAGAATTTTAGTTTATCAATTTTTAAAGTAATTGTAAAATAATCATTACTTAGATTGACCTTTTTGGTACACATTATTGTAAAGGGTATTAAATTATCTTCATTTGTTTTCTATTCCAATCGTATAATACTATGCCAAAACAGCCTGCGAAACTGCTAAATGCCACATGGAACCTAGAAAGTATTTGAATGGGAATGACAAAAATTTTAGGTAGAGCCAAAAAAATTGATAGTAGCAATTATAATCCCCCAAAACTCTAGATTTCTAGTAAAAAATCCAACAGAAATTTCTTAGTAATTGGCACAAGAGTTGCTTTGAGAAATTCAAAATGTGCTTATGATGAAGCCACGTAATCTTGTTACTTCAACTGGGTAAGATTTTTTTGTTGTTTTACTCAATCTAGAAAAATTATTTTCAAGAACTACGAGGTTAATTTTGGAAGCTCCAAGGATAACTGGATGCGTTATGAGATGAGATTTCTACAAGAAGAAGTTATATCTTCCAGCAGGTCTTCTATGGGCACAGAAGTCTCCCACATAGTGAGCTAAATTGTTGATCTTCACTTGCAAAATAAAACTGATTTTATAACGTATGATTAAATGACATACAATAATATGACAATAAATACTAATGTTTTTATAAAAAATTGTAGCATTTAATATTATCAGTGCATCAGATCTTGTGATATCAGGTGATTTTTAAATAAATTTTTATTGTATACTTTTTTGATAACACGTTTAAAAATCTGAAAAACCAGATATTATAGTGAAAAGGGGCATACTTATACCGTGTAATTAGTTTGAATGTTTCAGCACTTGCCACTTTCACCGCTCATGAAATCACAGCTTCACATTCATATAGACATGTCATGCTAAAAACGGGTGTTTGACCAGAAAGATTCACTTTGATTTTAGCTTATGATATCTTCTGTTTGGAGACTGGATCTGTACTTAAGCACAAGAGTCTACTTTAAGCTCAGAAACTTCAAGCCAGAAGCACTAGACAACTGAATAATCCAACTTATTGAAGGTGCATTGCATTTTTTTTATTTGAGGAAAGAAAAACATAGCCGAGCAAAAGGTTATGAGAAATGACACATGCCGCAATTCGTTTTAGTACAAATTTACTTATGTAAGAAACAACTATTAGGCTCGGATATCTTGAAGCCTCAAGCATTAAGATTCGTTGCTTAATTTTGTTCACTAAAGTTTTGCTTTGTATTGTAATTGTAATTGTAATTATTATTGTAATGTTGCATCTCGAGTTGAACATTTCATTCACAATTATATCATAGCAAGATTTCTATTGCCATGTTTCAGATTGGACTATTACCTAAAATAGAAAATGCCTTACCCTTTTGCCCACTCCCTTTTGCCCACTATCCCCACCATCATTCCATCACCAAACAAATTTGAATTGAATTTGAATTGAGAAGTAGGATGATATTTGTGTGGTTTGAATTCATAGTTTGGTATAAACTTTGAGAATTGAAAACTACAGAATTTGAAACTAAACATTATAAAACTAAAAATTGGTTTTAGTTTTTAAAATTTTACTGAACAAAACCTAAGATGATTACCTACAATCTACGGTTAGATCTTTTTGCTTTTGTTGAGTAGCTCATTTTTGTCTTATCTTTACGTTTTTGGTTTGGGCCTTTGTTTGTTCCTTCGACCTATTATATCTTTTTTTAGCAATTTCATTAGCTAGTGTCCATGTGTTCATCATAATTTTAACTGGTCTTGAGCTTTTAACCATCGAATCTTTCCATGAATAATCTTATTAACCAAAAGGAAGAAATTTATTTCAATAGTTCTCGTAAAAATGTTGTACTTAGTGGTGGTCTCTCTCTCACACATATTATGTTGATTCACTTATAAAGTATAATATTAAGGATCTTGTTAACCAGATCCTTACAACATTGATTAAGGAATTAAAAGCAAATTGTTTTTATTAAAAATTATATTAAAAATCACAAGAAAAATGTATTTATTATATTTTCTAACAAAATTTTTTATTTTAAATTCCTTAACCTACCTAGGACAGGGATTAGCATTTGCATAATATTACATGTAATATGATATTAAAATACTTTTATGTCAGCACCCATTTAGTTACCATGATATTAAATAACTATTCCATTTCATAGGAAGTGTGTATTATTTGTGGTTATTGCTCTACTCAAAACTTTTTAACGAAAAAGGAAATAGAAAATACAAAAAATAAAATAAAATATCAAACTGTGTTTTCAAACTATTTAAACCATAAATTATTACACAAACTTATATTTACGTATTTATATACCTCTTTTCTAAGAAAGTTATACTTAACAACTTATATATATAATAACATTACGTCCTTAATTATGGCTGTTCAAGTGGGTCCAGTATCATAGGTTCCAACACTTTTATTTGAAAGAATTTACATTAACCCTGGTTTCAGTACAGTGGTACTAACAAGCAACAAGGTGGATCCAGAGCTGATTTGTCGGCAGAGGAAGAGTAGAGTCCTCACCCAACACACTTGTTATGGCCACTGTCTCTCACTCACTTCTACCTTTGCTTTTCTTTGCAAGAGTTTCAGGGCTTGCAGTGGCAGTGCTTGTTCTCTTTTGGCCTCTTGCTTTCAAGTCTAGCTTTCTCACTCCCTCTCTCTCCCAACAAGACCTCATCTATGCTGTACATTCATTCATACATACACACATTCCCTTGTTTCTTTCTTTCCACATAAACACATAAAAGTTAGCTACTTTTTCAAGTAGCTAAAGGAGCTTTCTTTTTTCTTATAGTTATACTCTAATTAATTTCAGGTCCTTCATCCTCTCCTCATGGTCATTGGGTTTATTCTCTTAAGTGGAGAAGGTATTTTAGCGTAGCTTGACTTAATTTTATTTTATTTTTCATTTGAAATTAAAGAAGGTGGCTTAGCTAGTACTAACTTGAGGATTTTGAAATGGGATGCATAGTGATCATTGATTGAGTTTATTTAGTTATTTTGTTATGGGTGTTTTGTAGCAATTTTGGTGCATAGATGGTTACCTGGGTCAAGGGGCTTGAAGAAATTGGTGCATTTGGGTCTTCAAGGGGTGGCTCTAGCTTCTGGGATCTTTGGGATTTGGACAAAATTCCAAGGAAAGGATGGTATTGTGGCAAATTTCTATAGCCTACATTCATGGATGGGTTTGGTTTGTGTTTCCCTCTTTGGAGTTCAGGTATATTCTTCTTCATCTTGGATAATGTCTGAGACTTTCTTTTTTCTAAATTAATGTCTTTGGTACACTTTTTTAGGGGTTCTTCAACTGGATGAATTCTTTTAAAAACATGGAGAATAAAAGAAAACTTTTTCGGTATCAACCTCTGCAAAATGTTTTATCTATGTCTGAAACTAGACACTTCAAGATAAAAACAAATATTTCTAAAATATATTTTTAGAATTTGTATATATCATCATAGTAATAATGCATATTATCAAAATTTTTAGTGATTTAAACAAAGAAACTAACCAACATCTTGGGTTGTAGTTTGTGGAAACACTTACAGCATGTATTCTTCTTAACAATTTTTTCATAATTTAATAATGTCGATATGTCATTCGCACTAAATAGGTGCTTGATAATGGATGGTTGAGGAAGACAATGTGGTCCTACTCTCTTTTCAAAAGAAAGGAAGACACGTTGCGTCCAAGTACTTTTATTTCTTTGAACTAGCGTAGTAAGTCCCATACGAAAAAGTTTAAAATTATGTGTGTTTTTAACATACCCAATTCTAATTTTAGACTGCTTTTTGAATTGAACAACGTTTATTTAAATGTAATTACTTCAATAATAATCATCGTTTTTAATATAATTCTTATTCTTATCATGGTAATATAAATTTAAACAAATAAAATTATCATCCCTGAAGTTCGCAACGTGCAAGCAACGAATAGTGACATCCAATAATACTATAATTATATCCAAAATTGGATATGAATATACTTTTAAGAAAGAGGTGACATACGAACTTAGTTCTGGAAACATGTCGGTCATAGTTGTCAAGCAATTATGAATTGCAATTGGATTACATTTCCTAGGTGCCCTGAAGTGGAGCCTAAAGAACAACAAAATATTTTTAAAATAATCATAGGGAAGGTAGAATAGTAGATATTTCTTTTATTTTACTTTTGATAATAAATGCAAAATAATGATAATTATTCATCACTAGTAATTAATATATCCCAAATTCCTTATTAGGAATTACCACCTTTACAACCACTACAAGTACTTCTCTCCTTATTATAATTTTTTAAAACGAACTCTTTTCAATTTATTCTAATAAATTTTGAATGACTAAAATCTTCCTAATTGTTATGCCTACAAATCATCTTGATTACTAACTAAAGAAGCTATTAAATATTTTTCATGTTTTCAAGATAGAATGAATTCACTTTTTCATTTAACATTTACTGTATAAAGTAACATGAGAAAAAAAATATATCAAAGTTTGAGTTTTATCTTAAAATTTATAATGTAAGCCTTCATACAATGGAATAAATAAATAATTAAACGGTGTAACCAAATGCACCATTAATGTGAAAAATCATTATGATTATGAATATAGTTTGATGAAACTGAATTTATAAGCAGTATCTGAGTCCTTTTATTTATATATGTGCATGCAGTGGTTGATGGGGTTCCTGAATTTTTGGCACCGAGGAGAGATGCGGAGGGTGAGGATAAGGATCTTACCATGGCATGTATTTCTTGGTCTCTACACTTATGCATTGGCAATAGCAACAGCGGAAACTGGATTGCTAGAGAAGTTAACATTCTTACAGACAAAGAGAAATGTACCCAAACGCAGCACTGAGTCCATGTTGGTTAATAGTTTAGGCCTCGCTCTTGCCCTCCTTAGTGCCTTTGTTATTATGGTTGCTGTTTCCCCTAAGTATCAAACCCTGCAAACCAAATTTTTCTACTCAGATACCACTTTCTCATCTTAATATAATGCATTACACTGCCTCATGCTTCATTACCAACACTTCAAATGTTATACCACTTTTGGTTTTTGTTGCAGTTAGTGTATTTTTGCACTTTTGTTTGAGTGAGAAATTTTCACTTAAATCAGAGTACAAAAAATGCACTAATTGTATGGTGCAGTTAGCGCAAAAAATGTAGAGAATCTCTGTTCCCTTCAAAATGGGTCAAATATTTTAACACAAATGATTCATAGGTAGGTTGATAAGCGAGTTTGATCAAGATTCAAGATATAGTCTAGTAAATAAACATATCTAAGAATATATACAATTATATTAAAAATTTGTATCTCTTAATTTAAACAAATTTTCATTCCAAACTCTCTTTTTTATTTTATCTAATAAAATAGAATCCTAATTGTCTTAAAATTTTTTCTTAAAACACAATATTTATAATTAACAATGATATTTTTATGTTTTAGTTCCTATTTTAATGGAGCTTCATGGGTTACTGAAAAACGAAAATTATAGATAATAGAAGGGAATAATAAGAACGAGAGAAAGAGAACAAAAAGTGAAAAGTTGTGTAGATAGCAGTTGTCAAGGTTAACGGTAGAGAGTACTAGATTCCACTTTCACCCCTCATTCCAATTCCACAATTGTTCGTTCCTCCATCGCAACTTCAACGCCTTAACCCTAATTGCGTTACTCATCAAAAGAATCAGAAGAAGAATGTGGTCTGCAACTTCTTCCCCTTCGTTCTTCCTCTTACTCCCCACAAACACACTCTCCAATTCCCATTCACTTCGTCGCTTTCTCCACTTTCCTCGCCGCAACGCCCTCTTCGCTTCCCTCTCCTCCTCTTCTCCCTCCTCCGATGATTTCGGCGGTTGGGCCCTTCTCGACGCCCCGGCCCAACCCAGCCACAAAGGTATCATCATTAGGCCCAGTTCCCTCGGCTTCACTCACCGCACCACTTCTTCCTGTTATGTAATTTTATGCGTCGAATTTCTGTTTTGTGCAGCGACATTTCCTTCCTATGCCGTTGTGGGCTTCGGCACTTCGCTCGCTCTTTTGCTTGCTGTATTTGCTGCCTCCAGGAAAGGTAGCTTCGTCGTTTAAGTTCATTGCTCTGCCTTTCATTCTTGTCATGAATATTTTGTTGCATTTGGTGTGTGCGTTTAGGTTTTAACGTTCAATTCGCGAGACCGTTGCGGAGTACCGTGGAAACACGACTTGATCCAAACGAGACTGTGGAGTTTGACGCTTCTAGTAGTGGGAGCAAGTCGACGCCGTCCGAGGCCACATCAGAGGCCATAAATGTTGCCGTTACGGAAACTGTTCAATACGGTAAATACTGTTAAAAAATATTGTGCTTTTTTTTTTATAATTTTAATTTTGATATTTTTATGCTAAGCATTGTGTTTGTTTATGTTTTTGGTGTTGTTTTTAATTAAAATTAGAAGTTTACTTCGATGGCTTGTATTAACATTTAACGTAGACCTTTTATGTAGTTGAAATTCGAGTTTTGATTGGATAGTAGCATCAAAAGTACCTAAGGAACTGTAGATAAGTTTTGTTATGCACAAAATTAATTTTTAAAATTTCTTGTTCCTGTTAATTTATTTTCTAAAATTACAAATATGCAAAGCCTATGAAATTAGCGAAGAAAGGTCGTTGTTTCAGTTATTTTAATTTATAAAATTATAAACACAAGGACTAAAATGACTGGCAATGGCTAACTTTTGGAACTGATATGAACGGTGTTTGTAAATTAAAAACAAGTTTTGTGTATTACTATTACTTCCCCATAAATATGATTACTTCTTGAAATGAGCTAATCTTTTTTCTTTTATTCTTGTCATATCAGTAGCTTTAGAAAAGCCTGAGCGTGTTATGATCCCAGTTTCTGTGGATTCTACACAAGAAGAAGCATTGTCAGTCTTAAAGACATTGAAGGTTTGTTTCTAGAAGCATGGTTTTTAATTATGAATCAAAGGGACTAATAGTATTTGCCAACACTGTGTTGAACTGTTAATGGTCTGTGCAACTGCAAGATTACTTCGTATTTTTATAATCGAATTGCTATTAGTAGGAAACCTGGAAGCGTTTGACATGTGAACCTTGGCTCTCAGCTTTATTTGGTTCAATGTACTGGCAATTAGTAAACGCTGTTCCAGTCATTTTTTGATTTTGGTTATGCTGCTGCTTAAGTTTATATACCAAAGATAAAGCATGCAAGAACCAAGGGAAAGAACCGGATAAATGTATATGTGGTTGGTAATGGTATAAGCTTGGGCTTTTTGGATTTAGTTATAATTGATGATAACGATAAATTTTGATTTAGTTTGCTTCTTTGAATTTGAAGCTTCTGGATTTAGTGTTACGTTTATGATATGGTGTACTCAAAGTTGTGCTGCTTGCTTGGATGAAATTTTCTCCTGTAGTGTATTTCCTTGCATTTGTATGTTCCATTTTGTAGCATTGAAACTATCTGCTATTTTTTGTACCCTTAGGTAAGTAACGTTGTAGGCTTGAAAATTGTGGTTTTTGCTGATATGTGTAGATAATTGAAGATCATGTGGAAGCTAATGAACTGTGTACCAGAAGAGAGTATGCTAGATGGCTAATTAAATTGAATTCATCCTTGGAAAGGTTAGTAATTTCTGATACATCATACATGTAACTTTGCTCAGGAAATGATTGAGCTAAAACATGTTGCTTTACTGGACTTCTACTAAAAATGGATTTCATTGTTTCCAGGAGTCCTAAACATAGGATTTCTCCAGTAGTATCACTTTGTGGATCTGTAGTTACTGCATTTGATGATATCAATGCTGATGACCCAGACTTTAGATCCATTCAAGGTAAAACTGATGGAACTTTACTTCTGCCCAAAAACTTCTCTCTTATGTGCAGTAATTTGAATGTTTTTTTCTCAATTTGAGGCTAAAGTCTTAGCAGAAGCCGGTGTGATCCCCAGCAAATTATCTTGGAAGAACAGTTCCAATTATGGTGGATCTGACAGTCAAGTAAAGATAAATTTTTTTCCTGATAGGTATATATGTGTTCCATTCTTCTATGCTTCACAGCCAAATTTTATTTTAGCATTTTAGTGAATGAAATTTATCTGCACTGCAGATTCATCTCACGACAAGATCTAATAGACTGGAGAGCTCAGTTGGAGTATGAATTTTTCTCTGGGGTAATTGACCAGGTAAGCTGTTTTCGAAAGACATGTACATGCATAGTTTTGAATATTCATGATGTACAACTTTTTTCTTTCAGCTCTTAATACCTGACTTTTTACAGTCCAGATATCAATTAAAAAAGCAGGTTATATGGATGTGAAGGAGATCACTTCTCCAGCAGTTTATGTCGACATGTTGGAAGGGGATGGGAGTATACTCAGAAAAGTTTTTGGTATCACCTCTCAGACATTTCCTCTATGCATTGCTGTTTATTTTGTTTTGTCAAATACATATCAAAAATAAAAAATATAATAGTACTAGACATATGATAAATAAAAAATATTTCATATCATTAAAAGGTATTGTAAACTCAAATTCCAGTTAGGTTATCTTAGTATTTTGTCTGGCAATGGAAATGAACAATTGGTCATTATAAGTGTAGATTGTTTGATGTCAAAATGTAGAACAGTAGGAGCATAATGAACTGAGAAACAAAATTAAACTCAGAATTTTCAGTACCTATTTTATGCTTATACCATGGTCAGATAGGCTGAGTCAATCAATGAATAGTAGGCTTTTATTTATTTTAATTTGAAGGCTTGGATTATTCCCACGTTTCTTAGAGTGCCACAACAAAGAGTGATCATATGAGGGGTCTATTGTGAACTTACTGTTACAGGACAGAGCAAGCGATTTCAACCAAATAAACCTTCAACAAAAGCACAAGCAGCAGTGGCTCTGACAAGTGGCCGGATGAAAGAAGTGATATCAACTGAATTGTCAAGAATAGAAGCTGAGAATTTAGCCCGACAAGCAGAGGCGGAAGAGATCAGGTCTGAGTTGCTTAGCCGAGGAGACATAGAGAGGTTTTGGGATGAGAAGCTTAATGAAGAGAAAAACCGTGGTTTTGATGTAGAGAAGATTTATCATAAGGAAGTAAGCAATTTGGAAGAAGAGAAAATCAATAAAGATAAGATATATGCTGAGTATTTAAAAGAAAAGGCAGCGATAGATTGTCAGAAGCAGCTGCTACTTAGCTTGAAAAAAGAAGTTGATGAGATATCAGACAAACTTGCATCAGAGAGAGTTATATATGTAGATGAAAGGCATATTGTACAAAAATTGCTGAAGTATTTAGAGTTCAAGCATGAAGAAATGCTTGACACCAAGTCCACACTGGAAGCTGAGAAAGAAGCTCTTCAGATTCTTAGGTAATTTATGACTTGTCAGTATTCTTTTGGCATGTCTACCCTTGTTTATGTTCGATACTCCTTAATTTAGTGTCAACTCAGGTATCCATTTTTATTTATGGCTTTTCAAATTACATTTCAAATTGAGAGGCTTGTAAAGCCAACAGAGCAAGGAGGTTTGGGAGTTGGTAATTTGATGCTAAAACACATCACTAAATTAGCTTAATGGGTACGGCTGTGTCTTATGAAGGTCAATTCAATACAGCACCTAGTAGTCTGAAGTTAATTTGGTATACTTTAGATTCAAAATGGTAGGATGCCAAGTAAAAGTGGCGGATACTCGTCTAAATCTTTGGAAATTTATTTCCCAAAGATACATCTGTCAGACAGTTCATATTTTGATATTGATAGATGGTCCTCTAGTCAGTATTTGGGAGGACATTTAGGTGGAGACTGTTTGTCTTTTACTCGCTTTTTCTTCCGTCTACAACCTCTCTACCTTGCATAATCTATCTCCAATTGACCAATTCTATTCATGATCATACCATGGGAATTTCACTTTTGAGAAACTTGTGTGGTTGACAAGCTGGATGACCCATGATTTTCTTTTTAACTTTATTAACAACGGTCAAGCATTGCTACACTGCGGTTAAGTTAAATTGTTTCTTACTCCCACGCATATACACCTTCGAAGTTCTATTGTCCTTGAGTTGGGCCCTAACATCATGATCTAAATGGTGCTTGGTTGATCCTCTTATGTTAGAAGCATAGTAGACAGATTTGATGTACAAATCAGTAAAATTACTTTCACCCAAGTGAACCTGATAGAAATTGTGATTGTATTTCGAGTTGGGTGAGTCTAATGAAGGGCATAAATGTTGCAGATCTTGGGTGGAGGATGAGGCAAGAAGAAGCCAAGCACGGGCAGCTGTTCTTGAAGAGGTAGGGCGAAGATGGAAATGGGATGACCAAGTTTGAATGGGATCACATCCTATAAATGTAAATTATTATATTTTTATTTATATGAGCACAATTTCTTTAGGCTACCATGCTCTGTTTGGTATTATGTTCTTTTTGGGGATAAAGGAAAGGATTGAGGCTGATGAGTCTCATCCTTGGTTTGGTATATACTACAGATTCGAAGGGGAATGGGATTCATTTGAGTGGGCTGAATTTCCATGGGCCTCCCAAGATTTGCCATCCCTCTGGGAGATGGATGGTGAGGGCTAATGTTGTCTTATCTATTTGAGTTGCATGTCGATCCTGTTTAACTATTTCCAGTTTTGAAAGCTTTACGAAATTCCCTTTCAGATAAAATGTCATCATTCTTGCTTGTAACTGGTGGCAAATCTTTCTCAGTGAGTGAATAATTCCAAAATGCCAATTTTATTCGGGTGTTGTTTTTCTTAGTTTTTGGTTTTTTCCTTGATGGCTAAATTGTGTTCAATTTCTTAAATTTTGCAATGCTTTGACCGGATAGAAATAAGAAATGTTAAGCGTTTATGCATATTTTGAATTTGGATAGTTATTATTTGATTATACTCGGTCTTATTCGCTTTAACTATTCCTACATTATGATTATACCATTTATGATGTGAGGAAATGTGTGCCTCATGGTATATGTGCTTTGATTGCGTGCAAAACGTATTAGTCCTCATGATAAAACATTTCTGAATTGTTGGGGAAAATTTTCAACTTGGCGGCGATTTACTTAGTTCAGAAGTAGGTCTTCTTTCCTGCACCTTCGACCAAACCTGGGCATGAAAAGTGGATAAATATAGTTTCTTAAAGTGAATTTTCAATTTGTATCGTGTACGTAAGAATCTTTATACTAAATGGCTGTTAACTGAAACGCAACCTTGTGTTGTGGCCTGTGTTCACGAGCCACACGGGTTTTGGATGATATTTTGGCCACATCTTGCTAAGTGGAGCCCAATCAATTAATGTAGCAGAGTATTTTATATCAGCAAAATCTTTCTTACCAAAAAATAGCAGAAAATCTCTTGTATGTCTCTGTTCCTTCCATTTTAGAACTGTCCATATATTACATAAAAATAAATAAAACATTTTATTATATTTTCTTACTAGAAACACAAAATATAGAACAACGTAGAAGATAAGGTCGTGCACGTGTAAAAAAATTATTTAACTAAAAATCCTTTATTATTGTGAAGAATGGAAATAATAAATATAAATAATTCATTTTATTTAAAATTAAAAAAGGTATATAACTTGTTTTAAATAGCTATCTGAATTTTAACTAATTTTTAAATTTAAATATTAATGCATAATTATATAGTCCATATTAATAGTTATCATATTTTAAAAATAAAATTTACTTTCATTGTATACATTTCCATATGTGTGCAAACATTTACGAATAAGGATTAAATGACATTAAGTGTCAATAATTTTTATCAAAATTAAATTTATCAATTTAATTATTGAATTTAAATTTTGACATAAAATAATTAAAGTTTATAAAACTCCACACAATTTAAATACTAATTATAATTTATCCCGTATTTGGATGTATGATATACTATATATTTATATTTAAATTATAAATAAATGATTATTAGTAGATAGCATATGTATAAAGGCTTAAAGTGTGTAAAATTTTATGAACATGATTTTTATAGATACAATAATTAATAAATAGATTAATAAAAATTAATATTGATAAAAAAATATAATTATTATTTTATTAAATTTGACATGGTATATTTTAATCTCCTTCTCTCTCTCTCTCAATATATATATATATATATATATATATATATATATATATATATATAACATATTTAGTAAAAATAGTTTTTATTATAAGATTATAAAAATATTAAATTTAAACTATAAAGTCGCAATTAAAATTAAAAGTTTAGCAGTGATTACATGATCATTTAAATACAATTTATTATTTTTAATGATCAACGTGGATTGTTTTTATGTTTTATATTCTCTTTTATACGTCATAAAGCAAGAATTCACTTACTACTAAAATAAATCTTAATTAAACAAAAATTTTAATAAATAATATTATTTTGAAATAAAAATAATATTATATCGTTGAACAATTAAATGAATAAAAGTGGGAAGTGGATGACACCAAACAACTGGGCAGGTCCAACTGTGGTGCGATAAATCCATCTGCCCACCTGTCTCTTGGTTTATGGTTCTGCTTGTCATGTTTTTATAATAATAGCAATGTTTTATCATTTTTAGATATTTAAAAATTAATGTTAATAGTTTTCTTCTATAATAATAATAATAATAGAATCTATTCCTTTGGAGAATTTTCTTGCCAATATATTACACTTTTGTTCTGATGAATAGACAAGAAAGAGACAAATTTGGTTAAGTAGGAAGAGAAGAAAATAAGTGACCAAACAAAGCAGGAAAGGGTCCTGTGGCTGAAAATTTCCTTCAAAGACACGAATCCTAATTGGGTGATATGAATGTAACCTTAGAACATAACACTAAGACAACAAGTTCTTCAGAAATGCCAAAAAGGCTAACAATTAACTTTTGGCCTTTCTCACACATATAGCTTCCATATGCTTCAGTCCACCAACTAAACTTCACCCTTACTTTACTTAACCGCATCTATCATTCACAAATTTAAACTCCTTCATCAAAAGCCTTTTCTTTTCTTTTTTGGGTCCTTTGCTAAGAATAAGAATCATAGAAGAATTTAGCTTTTTCTTTCCGAAACATCTTTTGATGAATTCTTTCCCTTTTCTTTTGGAAAGAAAATAATTGGAGGCCCAAGAACACACTTAGATAAAAGGTTATATATATGTAATAAATGTACCATTAGGAATTAGTTGAATTTGAGCGCTATTATTTAATTAAGTTAAAGAGATACTCTTAATGTATGTGATCTTTAGTTTAGATTCTTGACGTTAAAGAGTGATAACCTCTTGACAAAATAGATTGCAAAATCCTGTGGTTTGAAAATTCAGATGCCCATTGAATAATAATTTGTTTATTTAAAACTGTGAGAGGAAATATCACCTTTATTCTTATTCATTTATTTAAAAATTACACATATATTTGTTGTTTAATTATTTAATAATACTCTTATGAGTCTCTTTTTAATTTTTGGTTACTCATTTAATATAAACACTTTATATATTGTATTTAAAATTTTTATACTGACAATGTATTAATAAATATATAATAAACAAATAAAAGTGAATTTTATCTTCTCTATCTATATAGATAAATAAAAAGTAATAATATTAATATTGATGTTGATGATTAATACAAAGCTTGTTTGCTTTAAAACCATAAAATTAATAGACATATATCTCAATCACAATTAATAATTTTAAATTATTTTTATTTAAATTTGAATCAATTGATCGATCAAATATATTATCTTCATTCCTATTACATGTTTACAAAAAAATAGTCACACATAAAAAATTTAATCATTTTATATGAATTAATTATTAATTTTTATATGTACTGTTATTAATATATTTTTTTTAAAACTATTCAAACAGTATAAATATTTTAAATAAATAAAGAATATTTTTAAAAGAATAATAATTAATATTATCTTAAAGTTTTGTATGAACAAGTAAATAAAAAATACTATATATATATAAGAACATAAGCAGTAAAGAGTCTGGTTGAATATTAACCGTATCAACGTATAACTGCCACAATAAACAGAGGAGAGAAGAGACGGTCCATTTCTTTTCATCTCACTTAAACTACCATATTAAACCTTAAAATAAGGAATGAGCAAAGCAGCAACAAAGGAACAAATGCAGTGGGGAACATGTCTTTGTTCTAATTTTACTGTCACTGGTCCTTATCAATCTTGTTCCTCTCCTCTGGCCAGTTTTAACAGTTGATATTCTCTTCAGCAAATTTTGGTGGTGACATATTAACATATATTATACCCACTCAAAATGTTAACTTATCAATCTCTTTGGACAATGGTTGGCCTCTAGTTATTGGTGGCTGTTGTTATTTCTTACACAAACTTTCATGCACCTGATAAGATGATAAAGTCAATTGTGTGGAAAATACCACTGAATTTTGCACAAGTGAAGTTTCTTAACATGGGTTTTGCTTAGTTTTTGTGCCTGTCTTTCTCTCTTCTAACTACTGCTCTAATGGTTTGAGGAATTGGTTATGGAGGTTCTGGGAAATGGGTGGAGGGTGGTTCTGGAAATTGGTTGCATGTTTGAATGAATGCAAAGTTTGGAGATTTATATCACCTAAAGCTTCATGATAGTCAGGTTAGGACTCGTAGTTGCTGCTTCAATTGCAGCCTTTACAGTTAAGCAGCTGAATGTTAAAAGCTCAAAACCAGGTACCTGTACTTATTAACTAATCCTTTTTTGTCAATTTTTTTTAATTTGTTTCATTTGTCAAGAAATTAAATATGATTGTAGATGGTTCATGTTGATGGCTAATTCAATCAAGTATTGAACTTTATTCTCATTTTGGTTCAGAATATAAAGATGAGGGCACAGAAGAGGAGCACGTCACAAGAGTCATTGATGCTCTCAAAAAGAAAGAAGTGAGTTCATCAAGCTGAGCTTTATCAAGTTTCAGTCTTTTCCATTGTTATGAGTATTTCTTTGGAAAATTTGTGTGTGTGTCCTCTTCATTTCAGTAATGTAAAGGGAAGTTGTTTGATGTGTTGCAGAGGGAGGAGGAAGAGGAGGAAGAGGAGGTTAAGTTAATTAGCAGCATAATTAATCGAGCTAATGACTTCGAAGATGATATTCTGCCGGAATTTGAAGATCTTCTATCTGGGGAGATTGAGTTTCCTTTATCATCTGAAAAGGCTGAGAAAGACAAAGTTTATGAAATTGAGATGGCGAACAATGCAAATGAACTAGAAAGATTGCGACGGCTTGTGAAGGAATTGGAGGAGAGGGAAGTGAAGCTTGAAGGAGAATTGCTTGAGTACTATGGTTTGAAGGAGCAGGAATCAGACGTTGTGGAGATACAAAGGCAGCTGAAAATTAAGACTGTAGAAATAGATATGCTTAACATTACAATTAATTCATTGCAAGCCGAAAGAAAGAAGCTTCAAGAAGAGCTCACACAAGGAGGTTCATCCAAGAGAGAACTTGATATGGCTAGAAACAAGATCAAGGAGCTACAAAGGCAGATGCAGCTTGAGGCTAACCAAACGAAAGCCCAGTTGTTGTTGCTTAAACAACAAGTTTCTGGTCTACAGGTGAAAGAAGAAGAGGCTGCAAGAAGAGATGCTCAAGTTGAAAAGAAATTGAAAGCTGTGAACGACTTAGAGGTTGAAGTGATGGAACTTAAGAGAAAAAACAAAGAATTACAACATGAGAAGCGAGAGTTAATGGTTAAACTCAATGCTGCTGAATCTAGAGTCATGGAGCTCTCTAATATGACCGAGGTCAGAGTCCTTGAGTAGACTTTTCATCATTGAGTTGAACATATACTTGAAACAAAATTTTAGTAATTTCTCTGAAGTTAAACAGCAGGGACTTTTGTTGTTTTGAATCACATAGAAGTATAATTTTGAAATCAATGATTTGGCTTCTCTTTTCAGTTGTCCTTGTTTACCCATCAATAGAATATTTAAGTACTAAGTGACCAAGAAATGCAATTGAAAGCACAGAATGGCTTCAGTGAGTATCAACTACAAACTGCCAAATAGTATTTAGTCTATACAAATTGTATTGATTCTGAAGCGTCTCACTCTTTAGTTTTCTAGTTACTGCTCAAAGGTTTATAAATTAATTGGAATCCTGCTTGACAAAATGTTATAAAGGGTGTTTACTTATTTCATGGTAATGGTGAATTTATGTTTTAGATGTGTATTTGTATATTTGATATTAATTTCAAGAAGCTTTGTTTTTAACTGCAGAGTGAAATGGTTTCCAAGGCAAAAGAGGATGTCAGTAACCTGAGGCATGCAAATGAAGATCTTCTAAAGCAAGTGGAAGGACTGCAGATGAATAGATTCAGTGAAGTTGAAGAGCTCGTGTACCTTCGTTGGGTTAATGCATGCTTGAGGTATGAGCTAAGGAATTACCAGGCACCACCAGGAAAATTATCAGCCCGTGATCTCAGCAAGACTCTTAGCCCGAAATCACAAGAGAAGGCTAAGCAGCTGATGTTAGAATATGCAGGATCAGAACGTGGGCAAGGCGACACTGATCTTGATAGCAATTTTTCCCATCCTTCTTCACCAGGAAGTGAAGATTTTGATAATACTTCTTTTGATAGCTCTAATAGCAAATATAGTAGTCTTAGCAAGAAAGGTGGCCTAATACAAAAGTTGAAGAAATGGGGCAAAAGCAAAGATGATTCTAGTGCTCTTTCATCACCATCTAGATCTCTTTCAGGAGGTTCTCCAAGAAGGATGAGCACGAGTGTAAAACATAAGGGTCCACTAGAAACCTTAATGCTAAGGAATGCTGGTGATAGTGTAGCCATCACTACCTTTGGGCAGAGGGATCAGGAAACTACTGATTCTCCTGAAACTCCAAATGCGACTGCCTCCTTAAATTCTGTTGCTTCTTCATTCCATTTGATGTCTAAGTCAGTTGATGGATCTCTGGATGAGAAGTATCCTGCATATAAAGATCGCCATAAATTGGCCTTGGCAAGAGAGAAACAAATTAAAGAAAAGGCAGAGAAAGCAAGAGTTCTGAAATTTGGTGACAATTCAGGTTTGAATATGACCAAGGGAGAAAGAGGCAGTCCTATATCTTTGCCACCAAAACTTACTCAAATAAAGGAGAAATCATTTGTTTCTGGCCCTCCAAATGATCAATCTGATGATGGAAAGAATGATGAAAATCAAACCATTAGCAAGATGAAGCTTGCTCACATTGAGAAAAGGCCTACTAGGGTGCCTAGGCCTCCTCCCAAACCATCTGGTACTGCTGCTGTTAGCACAAATTCAAATCCTTCGAATGGAGTACCATCTGCTCCACCAGTTCCCCCTCCTCCTCCAGGTGCTCCACCACCGCCACCAGGTGGACCACCTCCCGCACCTCCTCCCCCAGGAAGCCTATCAAGAGGGGCAATGGATGGTGACAAAGTTCACCGAGCTCCACAGCTAGTTGAATTTTATCAAACATTGATGAAAAGGGAGGCAAAGAAGGATACTTCACTTTTAGTTTCTTCTACAAGTAATGCATCCGATGCCAGGAGCAACATGATTGGAGAAATTGAGAATAGATCATCATTCCTCTTAGCTGTATATATCAAGTTTCCATCTCTAGTTTTATTATTTTTCTCATTAAGGCACCTATGTCACAACATAACATATTTTTGAAAAATATCTCTTTGTGAAACATTTAGGTGAAAGCTGATGTAGAAACTCAAGGTGATTTTGTTATGTCCTTGGCAAATGAAGTTCGAGCAGCCTCCTTCACAGATATTAATGATTTGGTGGCCTTTGTGAACTGGCTAGATGAGGAACTTTCTTTCTTGGTATGCAGTTAGACATCATTACATATTTATCAGGGAAAATCATGCTTCTAAAACTATTTTATACTTGGTGTAGATTTTGTGAGAAAGCATGGAAGTCAGTTCCTTTCTTGCTCTCTTAAAATTTAAATCATTCCTTCATGGAAAACCTCTTTATTTTGTATCTTTATATCTAGTGACCATTGCATATTTATTCATCACATTTTATTCCTTATGAAAGGTTGATGAACGAGCCGTCCTCAAGCACTTTGATTGGCCTGAAGGGAAAGCAGATGCCCTAAGGGAGGCAGCTTTTGAATATCACGATCTGATGAAATTGGAGAACAAAGTCTCCACTTTCATTGATGATCCCAAACTCCCATGTGAAGATGCTCTGAAGAAAATGTATTCATTGCTTGAAAAGTATGCATCTTTTTCTTCTATAGATTTATTTATCATGAATACATTACTGGATATCTAGTTGAGAGCTTAACAAAATAATCCTTATGATAAATCTGTTCTCATATATAATTTAAGGCAGTAGATTCAGAATTTTCAAGTCACATAAATGCTGAACATGACACATACTCATTTTATAAGAATCTTTTGTCTGCGTGAATGTTTCTTACAATTCTCTATAGCTACACTAAGAACTATTTTTATGAATTATTTTTATCAACTCATATCTTCATTCCTGTTGTGTTTTTGTTCCCAGAGTGGAGCAAAGCGTGTATGCATTATTGCGGACAAGAGATATGGCTATTTCACGATACAGGGAATTTGGAATCCCAGTAAACTGGCTATTGGATTCAGGAGTTGTAGGCAAAGTAAGCGTAAAGACTATAGAACCAATGTGTATAGTTCACTCAAGAGATTGTTCATGAAAAAATGAATCCTCTTATGTTGAATTTTCACAGGCGAGACCTTACTAAAATTTGTGAATATTTATAGAGGGATAGATACAATTTTTACATGACAAGGTCGTGTGAAAATTCAACATGAGAGAATCAATTTCCACTTTTAATAGTTGTGGTTTCTTTCAATGAGTGTTGAGCATGCAATTATAAATCTCAGGGTGATATTACCAGTATGCTATACCCATTTGAGGGAAAAAAAATTGTCAAAAATAATGTATCCATTAAGGTAAGGTTGTATCAATGTGAATAGGTCCTTATGAAGAGGTTTTCAATACAGTCACATGTTTATGCCTTGGAGTTGCTGTCTTTATAAGCTTACATAAATGATGTAGCTCACATGGTCACCTTGTTGTAACTCTCCCATTGCAGATAAAGCTTTCTTCTGTACAACTAGCAAAAAAGTATATGAAACGTGTTGCATCTGAACTTGATACATTATCTGGTCCTGAGAAAGAACCAAATAGAGAGTTTTTGATTCTGCAAGGCGTGCGTTTTGCTTTCCGAGTCCATCAGGTAAATTTTGGCCACTTGTTTAATTTGCTTGTGCTGATGACATGCATCATTCTTCTAGACCCCTTTCATTGAAGTCATAAGCATATTTTTATTGGTAAACTTGGTTAGATGAGGTAGGAAAATTTTAATGCAATGTTTCCAACCCATTCTTAAGGTTGAAAACTATATTGAATCTTTAAAGCCCAAAACCTTATTATTCATGGTTAAAAACAAATGAATATACAGTTGGTTATTACTGGATGTTATCGATTTGTTTTGATCTGCAAAAGTTTTGGTTTATAGAGTCTAAAGAGATGAACCTAGTGAATAACTTGAAGGATCAATTTGTAAACGTAAACTTTTGAGTACTAAAATAACACACGTATCATTTATCATATATTAAATTGGATAGTTGTAAGAAATTACTATTTAATATGGATACTTGTGAAAAATTGTAATATGGAAATTTGTGAAATACAATAATACACACTAATGATGGTGCGGAACAATATTCAGTTTGCAGGAGGCTTTGATGCAGAGAGCATGAAGGCTTTTGAAGATCTAAGGAGCCGCATCCAAACCTCTCAAACTGGTGAAGATAATAATAAACCGGAGACATAGGAAATCCATCAGAAGTTTTTTCTTTTCTTTGTTTTTTTTCCCCCTTTGTAGTTGCTTCTCTAATATATATGTTGCCTTTTCAGCTGTATATTTCATTTTGCTTCAATTTGCATAGCCTATACATACTGGATGCTATACAATGATACAAGAATCATATTGTAAACTTTGAACTCCAAGATGATCCTACCTCTGCCTACTTTTATGTTCTTCCCTGGAACAAGAAATTCAACTCAACAGTGTTCAATAACTGCATTAAATGCTAACCATCTTAGTAGCAACTCAACGAACTGTACGAGATTATTTTGATCAGACAGTTGGATGCCAATAACTATAGATGTAATTTCAAAGGAGATATGGACAAGATACACATTTCTGACACCATCATAGACCAGAACAGGCATTCTCCATATATATATATATATATAAGATGTATAATCAGCAGTAATGTGCAATTCTTATTCTCAATGATGAAAGCAAGTCAAGCAAAAATGAGGTGTAAGAAGAATTGTCTCTGCCGAAATATTAATAATCATCAGCAGGCATAAAAAGTGAAAACTGAGAAGTACAAAAGAATAATAGGGTTACAGCAATGTAACAACAAGACTTCTGTCCACAAATTTGGCTCCGCAAACCTTTCCTTGAATTTCTGGAGGCAAAGGAATGGCACGTCTTTGGTCTCCTGCTTCTACCAACAGCTCAGATCCTCCCCTATACTACATTTATTATAAAAAGGAGAGAAAGAAAAAGCAATCAACATCTCATTTCAGTTATGCGTATAAAAACTGCACAAACTTGCATCATGTAGGAAAGAGCAGAATTTGTGATAGAAAGGAAAGCACAATAAAACTCCCAACGACACATAAAACAAATATCCAATTCAACCATAAAATTCAAGCCATCTAGTTCCACCAAAAAATGTAAAAAAAAAAATAGTTTAATGAAATGTGCACAGCTCAAGAAGCAATTGCATCACATATTTTGCCAGTTTCATAATTTATCTACCAGGAAGTTGACCTACACTTTCATGAATAACAATATACTCTTTCCATCATCTTCACAGTCAATGTTTTTGAAAGAAAAAAAAAATTGAGTGCATAATGATGACTTGAAACCTAACTGTATTTGATATAATTTTTATGACAAAGTATAATATTAATCTTATTTCTCTTAGATTCTTTGAAAGAGAGACATAAAAATCACGGTTGAAAAATAATTATAAAATATATGAGCAAAAAGATATTGCATACTTGGTATAGCTTGATTTCTGATTTGTCAAAACCAGGCATGAAGAGAGTAACGGATTTTCCTTTTATATCAAATTTAACCGATGACGTCATATCACTGCATTGACTTGACTGCAAAGTAAGAAGATGTCTAGCACCTTCATTGATGGTGTCCAGTAGAATTCTGCTCCAATCTATAGTTTTATTCATTGACAAACTTGAAATGAAAGCAGATGGCAAGGGAGTAAGATCTTTTTTTGCCCTTTCCAATGATTCAAGATTTTGTTGCTGTGAGGTGATTCCAAAAGCACCAGAAACCTGAGCACCAGCCTGAATTGTACATCCCCAATATCGTAATGCTGAATTAACTGATGTTGGATTGTTCGGATCCATCACAAGGAAGCAACCAAACCTCTTTGGGTTTGAGAAGGCAGAAGATCCTTTCTGGCAACACATGATCAAAAACAAATTTACAGTTTTGTGTTAAGGTATGATGTTAGGTAACCCATGTTAGTAGTAACAATATGTTAGTTAACCATTAGTAGTTAGTTATGATACCTTGGTTAGTTAGTTAGCTTGACTAAGTTAATTCGGCATGATGCCTTTGAATAAGTAGAAGGGTTTGAGGAGGGATCTTATCAGTTGTGAGAGTTAGGGCCTTTGGCTTGGGAGGAGCAATCCCTCAAAGAACTGTAATGTTCTATCCTTGTAATTGGGGTTCATCCCTAATTCTTCTTAATAAGATACCTAGTTTCTATCATATGATTAGATTAATCGATTATGTTATATGACGTTTTCTCTTACCTCCAGCATTTGATCCAAAGTGTCCCATATTTCTGAACTCATTCTCCCATTGAAATAAGATTTGTTGCTACTTATTTTCATGGCCTCATCCACAAGTGTCAGGAGTGAAGGAGCAGCCAATCTCCCAAGTTCAGTTTTCTCAGCCAAGGTGCGAAGATATTTCAAGTACAATCTACAAAATCACAACATCAAATCAAAGATATTGATGAGGGTGTGCATGTGAGTGTGAGAGAGTAGTAATTCCAAAACCTTGCTTTACTGCTTCCACCTATGATTCGCAGGGTTTCCTCACTGCTGATACCATCATATATTATTATGTCAAATTTATCTCGTTGATTCTTTGAGGCTGCAATCCCCAAAAATCCTACAAGCCTCTCAAGTGCAAGTACCAAAAAGATTGAATCCATCCCAGGCAGAACACCAAGCTCTTCTCCAACAATCTATCATATGACAGAAAAAGGAGGATGACAGAGCTCCACTTTAAAAACTAGATCAAGGGAATGTATGTCCATCATAAATATAGATGGAATATGATATTGAAAACATATTACGTACCCACCCCTCCAAGTGTGCCTTGTGTCATATTAAGTTGGGCATCTGCTTGCTTCAGAAGTTTTAGAGGTTCAAGAAGCATCTGCAATTATAGAGCAATACTCAAATTCCTCAGACACCAACCAAAAGTATACAAAGATTATTTGTATAGAGAGAGGAAAAGGAAACAGTAACACACACTTTGGTTGTTTCCAACCTAACAGCTGAAAGGTTCTTGCTGCATTCGACATGGGAAGTTCCAATCTTACAGTTGAGGAGATAGTCAGCAGTGGTGTCTTGGTTATGTATCACTAAACATGTGTTCAATCCAGCCATTGCATAATGCTGAAATAAAAGGCACGTGAAATGAAAAATAAAAAAGAGGAGAGATTAATTTCTTTTCCACTGTTGAACTTGGATGATTGACTTTTATGAGTAAATATTTGTGGTAAAAGAAAGAATCTGCAATTCTCAATGAGAAAAGAAAATAATGATGGGCATGTTTAGTTTAAGAAAACACTACTTTCCAGTTTTTACAAATAATTACAATAATATCACCTAGTTTCCACTTTATTTCTTATTTTTCAAAAATAATTAAAAGGTAATGATAAATAATATCTCTGAGAATTTGGTTTTCTACCAAACTCAAAAACATCATATAATCTATGTAGTTAACTTCACCTAGTGAGATAAGACTTGATTGTCTCTAGCATGCTCATTTGATCCAAAATCTAAGGGTACACACTCAAACAGCTTAATGAATCAGTTATTCAATAAGCTTTTAAAATTGAGAACTTATATCATAAATTTGCCTCTATAAAGAACTTACTTTTCTAAGCTTCAGAAATAAGTTTATTAAAACAGTTACGTTATTTAAGTTTAAACCATTAAAAATTGACACCGTATACACTTATTTTTATCTCTTACAGATCTTTTATCTTTTCTATGTACATGCATCCCAAAAATACACCATAAAATATAAAGGGACACCTTTCCGTGTCTACTCTTGGCTGCTCAAGTAACATTTTTCTTATTAAAATGATAGTGATTAAGTTCATATTCCAAGTTTCATAGTCAAATTCATAGAATAAACCATCATGTAAAATATTTTATTGAATAAGCACTTAAGTTGGGTTCTTCATAGACACTCTTCCAAACACTAGGGCTCATCTTCTTTTTTTCAATTTCTGGGCTGAGAATTTCATAAATACAAGTACATAAGCACCTTGAAATAGCAATCAATCAAATATCAACTTCAATATGAAAGATGTGAAAGTTTTAAGTAGAGCAGAAAAAATCAACTCTCTCTCTCTCTCTTAAGGTTAATGGGAAAAACAAAATTGAGAAAATGAGACAAATTTTTACTTTTGATTGTAGTTGAAAACGAAATTGGCACCTGAGCGGCGAAGATAGCGGCAGTGGTTTTTCCAGAGCCACCTTTGCCGAGAAAAGTGAGTAATTTTGTTGCTGAAGAAGCGGGACCGCTCTCTGAAGAAGACGCCACTACCAAACGCGGTTTTGGGTGAAGAAGCGTTGAACGAGAAACGGGCTTTCCAATCAGAAGCGGAAATGAAAAATATGAAGCGGTGCCCATCCCTTCCGATTTTCTCAGAGACACACACTGCCAACCCAAACTGTGCAGAGAAAATAAGTAAAATTGAAATTACAAATCCCTTATATACTTTTCCTTTTTTTATTTCTAAAATTTTTAATGTACTGTCAACGTTTTAGTGGTTATGCCAAACACTTCACTCTTGCATCCTAAGTTTTACTCTCATTCCCTTATCTCATAAAAACCCAAACACCAAAATAAAGTTACTCTCTCTGCAATCTGCATTTTCACTGATTCAAATCGAAGTTCGTTTCTTCTAACTTCAGGTCCCCCCTTTCCTCACATGTTTTTGTTGTTGTCTTGGTTGTTGATTTCCTAATTGCTGATCAGATGTCAAATTTCCTGAGAACATTGTGTATGCTATGCTTTGTTGTATTTATTAAGCTTCGCTGTGCTTTTTGTCTGGTATGCTTTCGGTATCATACAATTTGTGGTGTTGACTGTATTTCTGGTGCTATGTGCTTATTGTTGGGGGTTTAAATTCGAGCTGAATATTTCTGCATATTGAAAATTTAAGAGGATCATATGTTACCGGTTTAATGATCTAGATTCAATTAGTATCGAATGTTGTGCCTAGTTTGGAATATAATTTTGTTTTTGGACACCTTGTTTCCTGCAGCAGTTGTAGTAGGAAATATTTATGCTTTTTTTTTATCATGAAATTTGACATCTATCTATTTGCTTTTGGGAATATGCTTTATTGATCAAACCACGTTGGTGAGGGAGAAGAGACAACCTCAGACTCAGATTTGGCCTTGGAATAGGGAAACCAAGAAAGAAACTAATTGCTATTAAAATAACTAAGCACATTGGATATTTGTAGATATTACGTTAATCTGTGTTTTCCACTCCCGTGAATTAGTGTGTCCTCCAAAATTTTTGTATAAATCAATATAGTAATAGTTCGTATAAAACAATACTTAATTCGTGGTAAGTTTTACTGAATCGCTTTTCTGTGGATGTCCATGTTAGTCTGGAATATATGGACCAGAAAACAATTAGCAAACTTGTACATGGACTTTGTGTGATTGAGGAAAGCAATATTAATAAACATTAATCACAGTTAAAACATACTGAACAGCTTTACATTTTCCTCAGAACCAAGGTTCCTATGTTGGAGTTTCGCTATGAAGCAGCGAAGATTATTTCATTCTTGAACTCCTTTAAACCACCACTAGATGTTTTAGAGTCTTTTACCAGCAATTTCTGTCCCATATTCTAAATTTTATTCTGAAAGAAAATGTTTTCAAACATCCAAAATTCAGTTGACACCTTATAAACAGGACCAAATTCTCTTAATTTACAAAACACTGAAAAAAGTTATGTGTGCTCTGATGAATCCAAATTAAAGTGATTTTAGGAAGAAACATGGTCATGAATAGACATAAAAGCAACATAGTTAAAATTTCGATTTGAATCGTAAAATCTTATGATTTTGGAAGTCTCATCGATTTAAATCGTGAATAAAATCCTGATCAGTAAAATCATTGTAAAATCTCAATTTAAATCGTAAAATCTCTCAAATCATGGAATTTCACTATTTCACTTCAATTTTGAAAATTCCTCTCAAAGTCTCTTTTGTTGAATCCTATCATAGTTGATGTCTCTTTCATATATCTCCTTTTTATGGAATCTAATTTGTCTCTAGCAGTTTTGAATCCTAACATTGTTGTTAACATTCAAGAGTCCTCCTAGTGCGTGTAACCTGGTCTGCAACTAAACCCAACAGTGTGCTACTGCTCTGAGTTCAAGTTTAGTGCTGTTGTTCTTGTATCTTTTCTGTTCTGGTCTATTTTTTACTCATGCCAATGCATTACATTCTTACTGAATAAATTATGATTTGTGAGTGCTACTTTGTTTAAGTACTTTTACTGATTTGAAGGTTTTCTTCCTTAATTTATGATATTTTATATAAATAATATGAATTTATATCATATATATGAATTTTATAAAATCTTACAATTTGATTTACGATTTTAACTACCTTGCATAAGAGTGGTCTCTAGTAGATAGCAGTTCAGCTACCAAGAAACTACTTTGTTTGTTATTTTTGCCTTATTGCCATGGACGAGAGTACTTTCAGCACGTGCGCATGTAATGGTATCTTTTTTTTATAGATACATCCTCCACAAGTAGTACATACACAATTTATTAGAGTTAGTGCCCCCAAAATAAAGGGATACCTCCTCCAAAAAAGTGGTCAATAATTTTCAGAGAAAGAAAATATGAACATGAAAACAGTTTTCAGAGAACGAAAATAAGAAACATTGATTTTGTATAATAAGTGATTCTTATTATACAAGAGCTCATACTCTAAATTTGACCATAAAATAACTGGAATAAAGGAAAAAGGATTTTTAACAGTTATATTTTCCAAAATTCTTTTAACTGCCTCCTTATTCTTTGGGTGATATGTTGTGTCTAATGAAGTGCAGGTTCTTGTGGAGACAAAGTAAAGATGATTCTTCTCAAAGACATTGTGCCTGCAGCTCAGAACAACATAGACACTAAATTTATTCTTTTGGAGAAAGGCGAGAGCACACTGGAAGGGCAAAATAAGATATGTTTGGCACTGGTGGCTGATGAGACCGCAGCTGTTCATTTTCAGCTTTGGGGAGATGAGTGTGATGCATTTGATTCAGGTGACATAATTTATCTTACCAAAGGTATCTTTTCCTACCAGCGTGGCAACCTTATACTAAGGGCAGGCAAGAGAGGGAAGCCAGAGAAGATAGGAGAATTTACAATGTCCTATGTTGAGACACCAAACATTAGTGAAATTCATTGGATTCCTGATCCAACCAATTCTAAGAATTATATCCAAGACTATGTAATATCTCCTGTGTCACGCATCTTCCCGCCAGCTCTGGATGAATGAGGATGTAAACCATTATGAATTTGTTGCAAAATTTACAGATTTAGATTTGTAGTGCCTACTCTTTTGCAGTTTTTTTTTTTTTTTTTTATTTTGAAAGTTTTCTTATTTTTTTTAAAATACTTGAAATGGAAGAAAAAACTAAAACTTTTCTAGATCCACAGTGCATTTCTGATAAACTTACCGTTGTTTAGCCACTTTATCAGCATCGTTTAGACCTTCAATTTGTAACCATTCCTGATAAGCTCATCTGAGGCAATACCACATTTAATTTGTATTATTTTCTTATTACTTTCAAATATTAAACCTTTTGTTCCTTCATTATTTTACCCCTTGAATAAACAAGGAGAATAATATGACTCTTTTTTTAAAACTATTTATTTATTTCTATAAACTTAATTATAGCTACAGCAATAAAAAAAAAATGAAACTGATTGTTAAAATAGATTACGGTATAATCAATCAATGTAAACTTGTAAACTAATAAAAGATTGATAACAACAATAACTTGAAATTCCATGCAAGAAAAAAAATAGAAATTCCACAATATTGACCTTTTTATGTGCTCGTTTAATTTAAAGATAAATAAAATTGATTTTAGACCATAAAAAATAATTAAAACATGTAAATAAATTTTAATTATATAATTTTTATAATATTATATATATATATGGAGAATAATTTTCTCACACTACTGTAAATCTAAAAAATCTTATATTTAATCTGAATCTTTCATTTAATTTATATCTGATGATCAATAAAGTAATAAATTATAATCTGTTATATATAAATTAAATAAAAATTTGAGTGTAAAAAATTTTAAACTTATTATAACATGAAAAGACCTTTCTTTTTATATATATATAAATACAAATAACTCACGTACTTATATTTTATTACTTTAGTTAAATAACAGATAATTTTTTACTAGTTAAATTGTTTAATTTGTACAATTAAAATTTAGTATAAGTATTTTAAATTTATTAAAATTAATTGTTTAACATTAAACGGCACAAAAATAGTTTCTCCCCGTAACCCAGTTTAGAATGAAGACAAAAACAAAAAAAAATTATTTATCTTAGATACTGGGGTTAATCTTGTATTAAGAGTATCATTAAAAATAAACAAAACGAATCACAAGACAACACTGTGACAGTCAATCAAGCAGCACTAAAGCAAAGATGACACAAAACCAACGTCGTAAGAAGAATAAAACAGCTGGAAATGCGATGTGCTCCAAAACTATTCCCATCAAAATTTGGCATTAATCGAAATATGCTCAAAGACCAAAACACTCAAAATATTTGCTATTCGTACGTAAGAAACATATTATTCATAATTTATAACATAACCTTTTTTCATTTCTTTTTACTATATCAATTGTTTTATCAGACACTTTTATTATAAACAAAATATATTGGATACTACTTCTCTATTCCCAGTCAAATTTAACTTGAGATACAGCATTAAACTTCACACCATTGATTTTAATTTCAATAATCGATTCCGAATTTTTTAACACTCAACCAATTAAACTCTAAATAATTTTGATCTTATTTAATGAACAAGTGACTAACAAACTCTGAACCCCGACTTAGCAGTAATTTATAATTTTATATATATTAAATAATCAATATTATATATAATTAATTTTTATAAACTATTTATTTTTAGTATATATTAAATCTTAAAATATTTTCTGAAAAAAATCTGTTACCTCACTTCACTTTAATTATATATATAAAAAAACGAAAATACATGGAAACCATGAAAACAAGTACGTATAAAAGTACATTGTTGACAACCCCCAAACCAAAACGCGTAGCATCAATCATCTTCTCTTTCATATCACTGCTTCCTCTTTCTTCTTCGTCTTCACTCTCTCTTTGACGCCCTTTCAACAATGCCTTCACACCGCTCTTTCATTTCCCTTTTCACTCTCTTCATCTTAATCCCCATACACTTCTCCACCTCCACCCATTACCTAAGGTTACCGTTACTACCGAGGAGCCCACCTTCATCGCCGGCGCAACTTCTCGCCGCTGACATCCACCGTCTCTCCGCTCACCGGACTTCTCTAAAATCCCCTCTCACCTCCGGCGCCGCCACCGGGTCCGGCCAGTACTTCGCCGACCTCCGAATCGGAACTCCGCCGCAGCGCCTCCTCCTCGTCGCCGACACCGGCAGCGACCTCGTATGGGTGAAATGCTCCGCTTGCAAAAACTGCTCTAACCACCGACCCGGATCCGCATTCCTGCCCCGACATTCTAGAACCTTCTCATCACACCACTGCTACGACTCATCGTGTCGACTCGTTCCCCGTCCGAGTCATACCCCACCCTGCAACCATACCCCAATCCACACACCGTGTCGCTACGAGTATTCCTATGCGGACGGGTCCATCACAAGCGGGTTCTTCTCCAAAGAAACGACGACGTTCAACACTAGCTATGGTAGGGAAACGAAAATTAAAAGCCTCGCCTTTGGGTGCGGGTTTCGGATCTCGGGTCCTAGCGTTTCCGGGTCGAGCTTCAACGGGGCACAAGGCGTAATGGGCTTGGGCCGCGGACCCATATCATTTACTTCTCAATTGGGTCGTAAATTCGGGAATCGATTCTCTTACTGTCTACTCGACTACACCATATCCCCACCCCCGAAAAGCTACCTAACCATCGGCGCTTACTCAAACGACGTCGTTTCCGGCAAGTTCAGCTACACGCCGTTGTTAACTAACTCCTTTTCTCCCACGTTTTATTACATTGGAATCGAGAGTGTGTCCGTTGACGGCGTTAAGTTACCCATAAGCTCTTCCGTTTGGGATATTGACGATAACGGTAACGGCGGCACCGTCGTGGATTCCGGCACCACGCTGACCTTTCTGCCGGAGCCGGCTTACAGGCAGGTCCTTGCGGCGTTCCGGCGGCGCATGAGGCTTCCGCCGGCAGAGGGCCCTGCGCTTGGGTTTGATCTTTGTGTGAACGTTTCCGGCGTGGCTAAGCCGAGGCTGCCGAAGCTGAGATTCAATCTCGCCGGAAAAGTGGTGTTATCGCCGCCGCCGAGGAATTATTTCATTGAGGTGGTGGAGTGGGTTATGTGTCTGGCGGTTCAACCGGTTAAACCGGGTTCGGGGTTTTCAGTTATAGGTAATCTAATGCAACAAGGGTACTTGTTTGAATTCGATATGGACCGGTTGCGCTTAGGGTTCTCGCGTCATGGGTGTGCGGTTCGCTAAAACCGAACCGGTTTTTCGTTTCTTTATGGAGTAAAAAAATGACACGGATTTAAATATTTTTTGGGACATTTTGATTTGTTTGGATTGTTATTGGGAATGAAATGCGAACTATTTCAATGGGTGAGCGTTATGATGATGAATTGGCTGTGTTTTTTATTCTGAAAATTCTTTTTGGTTTTTCATCTGATTTTTGTTCCATGCAGTGTCACCCTCTAGGTAAAATAAATTTGAAAATTAAAAAATTGAAGGAAAAAGTTTAAGCTTTTATTTTAAACTGTTATTTTTTGTATTTTAATTTTAATTAAATAAATATTTGATTTTTTTCATAGAAATAAAGAATTAGTATAGCCGTTGGGAAGAAAAAAATGAAATAATTGTGTAGCTATGATGTAAATAACTGAGGGTGTTTGCAGTATCTGTCTCTCTTTTGAAATCGTTCACTCCGGGTAATGATTCTGATCACATGTACGTTGTACCATTTATAAAGAACATGATTTGCTTGTACGTAAGGAATCAACTCATTTAGGGTGTTTGGATTAGATTAGATCGCTTTTAAAGATTTTAATTTTGATTGAAAGAAAAAATTAGTGTATTATTTATTGAATCATTTTGAAATTTGGATTATAATTTAAAATGGTTTTAGTTTAAAAAATAGCTTTTAAGAGTAAAGAAAAGTTTATATAACCTATCATTAAAGGTTAATAATTTATTTTGTTGATTGATTATTTTTATTTTATCTATATTAATTTGATTTCAAATACTATTAATATAAAGAGGTATATCATCAACTAATTTAAAAATAAAATAAGAACAAAATTAAAACATTATATTTTTTAATAAATTAATAATAATAAAATAATTTTTATTTAAATGAGTGAAAGAATGATATATATATATATATATATATATATATATATAATGATCTTTATAAAAACTTATTGTATATGAGATTTAAAATCTGACTCAATTTAATAAAAAAATATATATTTAAATCATTTTAGTAGTTTACATTAAATTGCATCAATTTATGAAAAATCTAAGGATGAAAAAAGTTGTTTTAATATATTTTTTTTATTAAAGCTGTTAAATTATCATTTTTTATTATTTATTTATTACTTATATTTTTTTAAAAAAAATCATTTTTATCACATGTAAAATTTCTTTCATCCATTTTTTATTTCAACACTATATTTGTACATATCAACATGAAAGGAAATGAGTTTGTAATCCAAACCCATTGGATGAAATTGTATAGTTTTCCCTCAGTTGAGTCTTTCACTTATTTATGTGTAAGATGAGATGGGAAGAAATTTATATATATATACATATAAATTTTTTTTTACGCTTAATTTAAACTTTTTATTTAACTTACATAAAATTAAATATAAATTTTTATATTGGTGTGAGAAAATTATTTCTCAATAATATATATACATCATGCATCTATTATTAAAATTTTGTTAAGATTGTTATTCATGTCCTAAGTAATGGATAATATTACAATTCACTAAATTTTAAATAATCCAAATTTAAGATTTTGCTTGTACACATTAATTGTCATTTCTCCAATAGATATATGGTAATAACAGAAAGTCATTACTTAGATCCTGGCAACCTAAGGTGTTGTGGATGCTCTGACAAAGGATTCAAATTAGACATTGTTGTTTTCAAAACATATTAACTTTACATCAAAATACGAGAAGTAAACCAAGCAAACATTTATATATGCATTTTCCCCAACATCCAACTTATGTGTCATTCTTACATGAAACCATCTACAACTCCAAACATTGGATAATTAGTAGAGTTTAATTAAATAAAAAAAAAATACAACATTGGCATGCAAGACTCCATAATGATTGTATAATTGCCATTGAGGAAGAGCATGTCATTTCCACTGGCTTTGAGGGGGAAACTTGAAGCGTTTGAAGGTTGGTTGGTGTGTGATTATTGACTAAATGGATTTTGTTGTTCCTCGTTGGAGTGTAAATGACTATAAAATATCATTAATTTGAATACTTAATATTTGCTAATTAATTATAATTAAATAGTTTTTTAAAAACTGAATGTAAATTATAAATTTAAAACATCTACACATTAATAATTAGTATAATTCTGTCACATGTCAATCGGTAATAAAGTCATGTAAGAAGGGTATGGATACCTCTCCTAACATGATGATATCAAAGTATTAATAATAACATTAAAAATTTATATAATAACAACATCTACTTAAGTAACTAAATAAAATTTTATTTTTAAATAATAACAACAAATACTTATATAACTAAATAATAAAAAATATATAACTTGAAAGTTAGAGGCATGAAATATATTCCTTGTGGGTAGTGACAAACATTTGGTTTCTAGCATTCAATCAGTTCCTCTGATTGGTTTAGTCTTGAATTGAGTTTATATATGGAGACAAAATACAATTCTTCTGTCGTAGGGGACTTAGATCACATTTGTTGGCGTTGGATCGTCTTTGTCTGTCTGTAGTTTTCAAAAGATGTTCACAATCTCGATCATCAAAAATATTTTATTTCAAAATATATCGTTCCAACTTATATTACAAAAAAAAGTATATGTTTTTCTTTTCAAACGCGCACACAACGTTTTGTACTTTATAAATATGTTAAATTTAATTATATTCTTTATGATACTATCCGTGAAAGTATTAATAAATAATCACATTAATTTCTTAGATGTTACACAAGTTCTCTCATATTTTATAAATTTATGCATGGTTAAGGAGGTGGAGGGGACAACGTTATTGATCATCGTGATGACGGTGGTGGACACGGCAGTATTGCTGCCAACTTTCTATTATAAAATCTCATGAATCTGTGGTTTCTTCTTTACCTTTTAAAGACAAGACTAAGGAAGATGGATGCTACTACATCATTATTATAAGGCATAAAGAGGAATTTTAAAACTTCAGAGTTTAAAATTTATAATGGTGACTTGTAGTCTGATATAAGTTAATATTCGTTTCATTAAATTAACACGTAAACTTATGCATAAACGTGAGACACAGCTGATTTGGAACTCTAAAAATAAGTTTACGTTAACTTTAGTGTTGAGTTTAAATATTAAATAACTTTTTATTAAAAAATATTTGTACATTAGATAGAAGCGAATTCGAAAATGAAAAGGGTGATAATTATTTGATTCACGAGAGGGAGTGTGGGCACTTGCTATAATTAGAAGAGTGGAAGTTAATAAATGCAAATGACAAGCTCGGGTAAGCTTGTTTCTTTCTTCTCTTCAAATGCAATGAAATCTCATTTTTCTGTTACTCAACGTGCGTTCTCATAAATGCATTATGCAACGCCAATCTTCCCTACCTTATATAGAAATGGTAAAGACCAATAAGGATTCATCGGAAGGGTAGGTGGGCATGCCTTATTAGCAGTAAATAGGAACTGTTAAGATCAATTTTTAATAATATTTTTGGTTTCATTTTCAATTATTTTGAAAAAGAACTTGCAATTATATAAAAACATGTCAAACTTATCTTCTATATGTCAAATTGGGTGTAAAAAGGGGGGGTGTTAAAGTAAAACTGAAAAGGCTTTGATTACCTTACAGTAGTCATGTGATGTATACGACCAAAAGCATAGGGATAACTAGGAAACCTCATGTCTTGAGGTCCACGATTGACCCAAACCAGATAGGATAAGACCAACCCTTCATTGCATTAATCGCCACAACATGTGGGACACAAAAAGCATGCTCAGCTGAATGGGTTATTATTGCACATTCAGAGACACAAATGGTGCCCTATTTAACAAAAGGTAAAATTTATGTTAAGAGAGTTTTTGAATTAACTAAATACAGTTATTTTAAGTTAATATATGATCTTTAGATAAATATTCAGAGGCTAAAAAAAAGTTCATCAAACTTTAAGGTTCAAAGGAAACTTATAAAGATATCTACACATTGTCTAATAACAAGGTTTTTAAATTAATAGTGAATTTTGAATGAAACATTCGTTAAAAAAAGGGTGTGTGTAAAGAAAAACTATTGGTGTGAAAGAATGAGATGTGAGTGATAGCAGTATATATGTACTGTGTTTGCAGATCCAGCTGTCTGGATGGGAGCAAAGCTTCTCCTTCACTTACTCCTCTCACATGTGATCTATCTCATCTCATGTCCCCACATTCTTTTCTGTCTCTTACTCCCCACTCCCAAGTCTCACTGCTACAAGACAACACCTCAAATTTGATATCAGATACATCCAACAACACACTGTTCATTCAATCCACACAAAAATTATTGTACCTTTAGAACTTATTTATCAGAATATATGAATGTAAAACATCTTTTCCTTTTTTATACTATTCTCTCTTCATTAGTATATGTTTTCTCCTTGATTGATTAAAAACTCAACTAACTTTTTTAATCAAATAACATATTGTTATTTTATTTCTTTTAAGTTGAAAAAGACCACTGTTATGTAGATAAATAATTAATGAATAGATGCATTGTTTCTAATTAAAAAGAATAAAAAGAGTTCAATATCGTATGACAATGTAAATTAGTTCAATTGGCTAATTTGGTTCTAAGAATTGAAGATATGCTCCATTCTTCCAAACCAAGTACATGAATTTAAATGTAAGTTAGCATGATTGAAGGTTATTGATAGCTTTCATTTTTATTTTACAAAAATGGTTTGTTAGGAAAATGTTTAGCCTGAAGTGGATTTATTTTAAAATACTTGGACTTATTGTGCATGGAAAGGCAAATGTTAATAATACTTTGGAGTTGGGAATTTTTCAAGAATCTGTAGTAGTAAAAACTATTATGTATAAGTGAAAAATCTTAATAGGAGGTTTAGTCTATTGTGGGTGAATTAGGATAAACTTTGAGTATTCCTATCCCTGACTCTTAAATTTGATTAACCATAATCTATTCAAGCATAAAAAGGAGTATTACTACTAAAAAGTTTAGTCTTGAGAACTTTTCAATATTTTATTAAGTGTCTATCTAAAGGCTGAAAGCTTATTCTATGACAAAAATGAGTGACTTATAAACCCTTTTAACTATCATAATAC